CCGTTGCACGCATCTATACACATATAATTGATGATGGGATTCCAATCAATAATTGAGCTCTCAAGTGGATCCCAGTTTCGAAACGACTTTATTGGTGATTACTATTTGACATAAAAAAAATCTAATCGTTTTAATAATAAATATTTTGCTGGCGTTAATTTGTTGTACGAGTATATGGACTTTATGCTGATATAGTAGAACAAAAAAAAAAACCCGTGTAATTACCAATCAGGTTTAGTCAGGTGTAAATGGCTTTTTTAAAACAGAAGAACATAGATTTTCCCTTTTTTACCCTTTTTTAAACTAATAAGGTTCGCCTTGAACAATGAAAATGCAAGTTGTGACGTAAAAAAAACCATTCTGAATGTTAAATTATACTATACTGTTGTACCCTTTACATAAAAAAATTATGTTAATTAGTAAAAAACAAAAATTCGTGCTATTAACACTAAACTTAAAGTTAACCACACACTTTATGGCAAATGAGAAATCGAATGCTTGTTTTCTTAAGTGGACAATTACAATATTATAACTTATACCTAAGTATAATTTTTTTTTTTTGGAAATAACTAACAATAATATTGAGAAATATTATTGACACATTTGTATCATCAAATATTTAATATGCTGCAAACCCGTTATGTAAAACAATATTGTGACGATTGTGATAAAATATTATAATTTTTCATTCGTTCATTTTAAAATATATTATTGCTGTGTGAGGTGGCATTGGTTTAATGAGTATCAATTATTATATACGCTACGTTAGATTGCTTGATTATTCGTAAACCATTGTCATTATCGATACAATTAAAAAAAAGGTAATTTCATCTTATTTATGTAAAAATTGTGAATTGGAATCAATAATTAATGTAAATTTTTCCTTTTTTCCTTTTAAATTTTTGGTTTTTTCCTTGTTAATTCGATCGTGTTTCGAGCTCTCTTGACAGTTTTATGTAATGAAAAACTAAAATGTTGTTATTATACATCTTTTATCAAACTGTATGTATCCTTGAGTGTCGTTTGGAGGTTTTGAGCACAACAAGCGTGTACATAATTACCCCTTGGTGTTTACACACCTACATGAACTTACTGTCAACCGTGTGGGAATTGCATGTGCTCGCAGGGGCGTTAATGCATACAATAAATACTCACTACTGTGTGTGTGTGTCTGTCGCTTGTATGGGTTAACGTTTGCTGTACGCGCGTACAGTTAAAATCCTGCAATTAAGTTCGTTTTTATTATGTAAAGTGTGAATTTTTGTGTGATAGGCGAATAAATACATAAATAAAATGTACAATTGTTTGTTGTTGTGTGAATTTGGGAGGGGGATTCGCTGTTAATAATAATCATTGATCTATCGGTGTTGCAAATCCGGCTTCTGAAACACTTGAGTATGGTTAACCACAATGGAGATTTGTCAAAATATTATAATATTACTATTTTTTGCGTGCCATATATATTTTATATAAATATTGTTTATTAAATTGCGCGACGTGTGCGCGAAACCGCCCTTTCGCATCTGAATCGAGTTTAATGGCTTAACGCAAACCCAGAAAAGGGACGAGAGAGTGAGAGAGGAGTAAAAAAATAAAAACACTCTTTTTGACCCTAGGGAAAACCCCGTTAATTTGTTGTCCCGCAATGAAATTTTGACGACGACGTTTGTCTCTTTTTACAGTTTTGTGCGCGCATATTTAAATTTATTATCACCCTGTATTTTAATTACCCACGTTAGCCGTGACAATAACGCGCTGTAGAGGTTGTTTTTATTATTTTTTTATCTGAATTTTTTTTAACAATAAACAAAATATAATGCGTACCTTTTTTATGTTTTTGGAATAGGTTCGCTAATTTTAATTGTCTTATAATTATAATTATACTTACGCGATCGCTAGGTCATGCATAATAAACATTATTATTGCACACAATATAACACATAGAGGGTTATCCATTTAACGTAAGGCACCAATTTTATAGTTTTTCTTAATAAAATGATTTGTGTTATTGTACCTAATATGAAATTCCTAGCTATGTACTTTTTTAGTCTTTTTTCAGAGCGTTAACAACTCTTGAAACTCAAATGAAAACATTTAATACATTCAAAAGTGGTTTACAAAACTGGTTATCGACTAGTCAACATTTTCAGCAAATTATTCTCATATAACAAATTCAATTAAATGTATATGTTACCATTTAAGTCGATAAATATCTAAAAAATACTAAAAGAGGAAAACATTTGAATATTGTCTATTAATGTAATATAACAATCAAACAAATTTTTTAAAAAGAATAACTATAAAATTTCAATTATTTTAAGAGTAAACTTGTGTGTTGGGCGATAAAAGAAACTCCCGGTATGTGTTCCCATTTGAGTTTCGAAAGTTGATACCGCTCTGGAAATCACCTGGTATACAGAGAAATAGACAGATCTCTAAAATGAGATTAAAAATTTCCGGAATATTAGTTGTAATTAATCCAATTAAGCCTTTTTTGTAACCTGTTAGGCTGTAAATTATTTAAGTGTAAATTTATCATACATCGACGTACCAGTTAAAAATTAAAACAACTTGAAATAAAAAATGTTGATACCAGTGTAGTACTAACAATATACAACACATATGACACATGTCATGCGTTTTCCCCAATTTTTAAACTATGCTTCAGTTCTCAATAAAAATTGGATTTTTGGGTTAATTTTTAAAAATTTGCTTCTAACTATCGATTATAAACTTAAACAACCCTAGAAATTAAAACCAATTTTTAATTAACGTTTTTCATCTAATTAGACAAGTTTAATGTATCTAGCACTTAACGGAATCCTGTTTTATCAACGGAACTTCTGACTCTCTACACTTTACCCACTAAACCACCATCTCCAAATGGCCATGATATTGAATACTTTGAGTATGTGCTAATATAATTTAGAAAACATAACAGTCATCATGGCCGGTCGTTAAAATCTGGTATTCACAAATTAAATGATACAACAATATTTTTTTTAGTTGTACCATTTATAAATATTAACAATGTCGTCGGGATATTTATTTATTAAACTAAAAAATGTTTCTATTAACCATTTAACCGTGGTTGTTGATTATATATTAATTATTGCTGCGTAATTGATATTAATGTGAGTGTTATCTGTTGTGTTTGAAGTAAGTAGTCAATTTTATTTTTATTCGTAACCCGCTTTATTACGTTTTGACAGCGATGAAGAGTAATTAGAATCTGTTCGGATTGTTGCCAAATTTGATTGAGTGCGCTGATTGTGGTTTTTGTCATTTCATTGTGTTAAATATTTTTATGTTTCATAGTAATTACTACTAATTATTATCAACTGTAACCATTCGCATTTAGACGAGTGACGCCAATCCCAGTACACCGTGGTTGCAGTATAAGCTCGGGGTAGCGGTGATAGTATTCCCACCCTTAAACATTTAAAATTAATTTTAGTTAAACCGATTAACCACGCCAATTAGAAATGCCGATGCCCGTTGCTTAGGCCAGTACGCGGTTTTAATTATCGCGTTTCTAATTGGCAAAAACGCACGTCGAGCTTTTTATTTGTTTGTACAACACAATCGACGGGTTTTGTCCCAAGGCTGTTTCGTACTTTTTTTTGTTTGTTTTCAAAACAAAAATAATAACATTAATTAGGCAAGGCAACCTCACCTCCTTCGGCGAGTGGATTTTGTGTGACCGGACGTCGACCATCACGTATTAAATATATTGGATTGTGTAGGGCGTGTACCGTGTCAGACAGGTGCCGCATAATAAAACGGATACTATTAACTTGAGCGTGAATATCGTTGGACCTCGTCGCCCGACAGTGTGGATTTTTTAATTTTGCAGGTTTCAATTAGCGAGTACATTTATTTTTTTTTTTGTTGAAATTTTGCAAAAACGATTCAAGAGAATTGAAAATTGCCGGTTTTTAAAGGGTTTTACGAAGACAATATTTTTGAAAATCAAATGGTCTTAATACGTTTTGACCATGTAAATTTATTTTCTTGGTAATTTTTATAAGCTTCAGATTATAGTTTGAGGTGTACAATTTTTGTCTATGAGTAAAAGTCGTTTTGATGGTAAAACAAATTTAGCCGTGTCAAAATTGTCAGACTTTGGCTGGTCCAATTTCAATTATGTTAAAATAATATAATTTTGTTGTTGGTCTCTTTAACGGGTTACGTCGTACGTTGGAAACAGATATTGTTTTATAGAATTCAGTTTTTTGTAATTAAAAAAATAAAATTAATTAAGTTAAGGCGTACTTTATTCACAAAAAAAGCCAAAAATCCGTTTCCGACATAACTAGTTACCTTGTCAGGCTTTTTATTCAAAAAACGTCAAAAAAACAAAACGGTCGTCGCCTCTACCCTTGGGTTGGCGTTATAACCGAACAGGCAGGTATATAACCAGCATAGGTATATTTATATATTTTTTTATTTTGTAGGTAAAGATCAGATAATTTGATCATTTATCATTATCAAATTAAAGTGCAAACGCAAAAAAAAAAAACAAATGTTAGTACGAGTAAATTCTTTAGTTTTCTAGTTTCAAACAGACTATCTCTTGGATAGAGTTACCGAATATTAAAACGATTATATAAAAACATAACATGACATTGTAGTAAATGTTCAGTTTGCTGTTAAGAAAAATAACTCATGTCCTCAACACAACATATACTATGCGTGCGCCTATATTTATTTTATCTATTTTAGGGTGGTAGGCGGCGATAACCATGATGATATTGACTATCATCAACCGATGTTTCCAACTCGTGTGTCGGTCTCGATCTACCACGCGAGAACCAGAGAGTTTGGCGTGGATTGTTATTATTTAATTTGTTTTGTTTTTGGCAAAAATTAATTTTGCCCTCGACAAAAGCAGTCGGTGCCCCCTTTCTCTCCGGTGCTCGCGTGAAAAATAATAATATTAAAATGTAATCAATAAAAGCCGAGACTAATACCGTTACCGGTCTTGTTTTGTGTTTCAGATGGATTATGCAGACTCCCAAAGTGGTTTACGCTCAGTGAGTGCTTCCGTCCCTCGGTACACCGGTATGGAACGTGGCGGAGCCATCAATCTCGTATTCGACGACAGCGTAAGCGCCCTGACGTTTTTTATAATACTGTTGTTATATTTTTGCATTTTATTTCAATAATAATAATAATAATGTCTGCGGCCGTTGTAGTGTATAAAAATAAACGCCCGAAAACAACAACACGTTGTTTGAGGAGAGATAAGAGACAGACGGCCGTGGGAAAGTTTTTGTTTAATGGATTTTCAGTTTTCCACTGCAGGGGGAAAGTTTACTAAATAAATATGTAAAATTTACCGCAATGTAAAAATATTGATTTTAATCAACAGTCTTTTGGCAGGCATATTATATGCAGTGTATTTAGAGCATAGTTAGCAAAACGAAAACCCAAATCCAAAAAAAAAAAAAAAAAAAACAGCCGTGTTGTCTTTTGGTTTGGTATTAAACCGAAAATATTGATTTTGTTAAGCTTGTGCATACCTACTGGGACGAGCTTAATTTAATAAAACCCGGGTTATTACCAACTCTGATCTTAAGGAAAGAGAGAGAAAAGACGGGGCGTTTCCATCACAGCTGTAATGTACTCATTAGATATTTTGTTTTTTTATAAAACTAAATACCTATTTAGTCAAATTATGCGTTTGTTTAATTATCTGACCACAACATATAGTATATTTAATTCCTATCTATAACCAAATTTCGACAAAGTAATTGTATAATTAGTATACGTATCGTATGTAAGTCGTACTATATAAAGCCATACAAAAATAGTTTAAAAACCTAATATTTTTTTTTTTTTTTTATATATAAAGAAAGATCACAAACAAAACTTTTTAGTTGAAATTATAAAATTGATAATATGTATCGACGTCTCCAATTTTAGTAAACACTACCACAACTCCGTAAAATATGTAGGCGGAAAAGTTATCTACTTTTATACAATTTTTGGACAAGTTTAATAATAATTATTCCCAATTAAGTGTTAACTACACGACGATTAAAAATAATAATTACTTATAAATCTCTACTTACAAACTTTTACAAGCGCCTATGAAATAATTAAAAAATATTTCGTTTGTTGGTAATTTTTAGTTGTTCGATAATAGTTTTAACCTGGAGCGACAATTAACGTAATTAACGATCTGTAGTTCCATTATTTCCAATTTTTGTTACTAGTAAAATTAATTTTATTTTAAAAATTAAATACATATAATATTATAATAAGACGTAACATTAAAATGGAAATCAGGACGTAAAGAGCTGTTAAGTAGATTCATATAAATATTATCTTAATAATGACATTTTTATAACGCGTCTTCCGAAAAAAAACACTAAACACTCAAAGACATTCTTTGTCTCTAGTGACAAGGAATAGACTGCGTCGTTCAACATTAACTTTGGTATTTCCCGTCGAAGTGTTTTTCTTGAAAATTATTTCGTCACTTAATTATACGGTGGAAGTTTACAGTAGCCGTCTAGAACCCCACTCCGTTGTCTAGAAAGTTAAAATTTGTTGGCGTGGTTGTAGATAAATTACACTTAGACTCTATTTATCAGAATTTCGGTTTAAATGTTTCTAAATAGTGTCATAAAAGTTTCATAATATTCTTCTATTAAGTTTCTACTATATTTCCATAGAATACTTGATTTTATTTCTTATGTACGTTTCGACGTAAAACGGATATTACTTGAAACGCAATGTATTATACAATTATATCCGTTTAAAGTTAAACCATAGATAATGAATAAAGATGTCTAAATTTTTACACGTGAGATATTTCTATTTTAGGCGTTGTTATAAACTTTCAATAGCGAATTACAAACGAGTTATTCACAAAATTAATGTGTGCGTAATTGTTATGATAACTTAATCGTAATTAATATGCCCGTTTGCTTATGACTGTTTATTATAGTATTGCGCTGCGATTCGGCCTGAGCTTTATCAAAAGAGCAACCGGAGCTCGCACAGTTCGGACACGAGTTCGGCGTATTCTGGCAGCGACACCATGACCAGCGTGCACTCGGGCAGCGTATCCGTCGAGGCCGACGAGGTGGACCTGTCCGGGCTGGTCGAGTCGATCGTGGACTCGGACGAAGACGACCTGGGAGACAGCAGCGAGAGTCTGACGGTGCGAGACACGGTGCGCGAATGCCTGGAAAAGGACCCGTCGGAGCGGTCCGAGGACGACGTGGAGGTGCTGCTCGAGTTCACGCAGCACCTGAAGGCGTTTACCAACATGACGCTGGCGGTGCGCCGAGCCCTGTGCAGCGTCATGGTGTTCGCCGTGGTGGAGAAGGCCGGCACGGTGGTGATGAACGACGGCGAGGAGCTGGATTCGTGGAGCGTGCTGATCAACGGGCACGTCGAGGTGGAGCACGTGGACGGCGTGCCCGACCAACTGCACATGGGCGACAGTTTCGGCATTGTGCCCACCATGGAACGGCTGTACCACCGCGGCGTCATGCGCACCAAGTGCGACGACTGTCAGTTCGTGTGCATCACCCAGACGGACTACTACAGGATACTGCACCAGGGCGAGGAGAATACCAAAAAGCACGAAGACGACGACGGCAAGTTGGTGATGGTCACCGAACAAAGGGGTACACTGGAGGCGGGCAGGAGAGGTCACGTAGTCATTAGGGTAAGTCGACGGCGTACGGGTCGGTCTAATCACCGCAGCGACCGCGTACGTTTTGTTTACTAATTTCATTTTCGGTCGTTGCAGGGAACGCCAGAAAGACTGATGCTTCAACTGATCGAGGAAAACTCGGTCATTGATCCGACATATGTAGAAGATTTCCTGTTGACCCACCGCACGTTCATCAAGAACTCCATGGAAGTGGCAGATCAACTGCTAAACTGGTTCAACGAGCCATCGGCCAGGGACAGAGTCACGCGAGTGGTGCTGTTGTGGGTAAACAACCATTTCACGGATTTCGAGATGGACCCCGTCATGATGGAGTTCGTGGAGAAGTTCGAGGCGTGCCTGGAAGAGAACAAAATGGGCGGGCAACTGCGGCTGTTAAACATAGCCTGTGCCGCCAAAGCCAGGACCAGGTGCGTTACCCTGGCCAGGCCGTCTCGAGATCAGGTGCTACACTTTTCCGTGTTGGGCGGTTACGAGAGGAACTTCGGTGTGTTCATCTCAAAAGTGAGTATTCGAACGCGCCGCAGTGCAGGAGGGTGTATCGTAAGTGCGATTCGATCGACGTGTATTTCTTTTTCAGGTGGACAAGGGCTCGAAAGCCGAAGAAGTCGGTCTTAAACGAGGCGATCAAATTTTGGAAGTCAACGGGCAGAGCTTCGAACATGTCACTCACGCGCGCGCTCTGGAAATCCTGCGCGGCACCACCCACCTGAGCATTACCGTCAAGTCGAATCTGTTGGGTGAGTTTTGATATTTTGGTTAAAAATTGTTTTAAATCGTATAACAGTTTTTGGACACGTTTGTCTGTGCCGTCGTTATAGTGTTCAAAGAGATGCTGGCCACGCCGGATAACTCGCCGCGCACGAGAAACCGCCAAAAGCAATCGGTCGAGATCGCCCGACTCCAAGACGACCCTCGGGCCCGGCCTCTGCTCACTTGCAACCTGCCACCGCCCATCCAACAACCGATCAAGACCACCACTACTGCCACGACGTCTAGCAGCGGCGGCGGCGGAGGAGGGGGGTTCATGACCCTCGGCCCCAAGAAACGTCTGCAGCGGGCTCTGATGAAAATGAACATTCTGCCCAAAAACATCATCGGCAGCGACGTGTGCGACGACACTTCCGTTTCCGCGGCGTCCGCCGCCAAATCGGACGCCGGTTCCAACAGTTTCAAACAGTCGCACAGCCACCCGGACCTGACGTCCATATCGTACATGGACGACGCGCGGGCGGCGGCGGCCGCGGCGGATTACCCGGAACACGTGCTGAAGGTGTACAAGCCCGACCAGACGTGCAAGTATCTGCTGGTGCACAAGGAGACGACGGCTCACGAGGTGGTCATGTTGGCCCTGCAAGAGTTCGGCATCACCGAGCCCAGTTCGAATTTCTCACTGTGCGAGGTGTCCGTGTCTGAGGGCGGCATAATCAAACAGAGGCGACTGCCCGACCAGCTGCAAAACCTGTCGGAACGGATAGGCCTGAGCAGCAGGTATTACCTGAAAAACGTAGGCAACACCGAGACGCTGGTCGGCGACGAATTGGCCGCGGACCTAGTGCGGGAGAGTCACGTGCACTTTTTGCAACTAAACGCAGTCGAAGTGGCTGTGCAGCTCACGCTGCAAGACTTTTCCATATTCAGACAGATCGAAGCCACGGAATACGTGGACGATCTATTCCTGTTGGACAGCCGGTACGGGACGCCCATGCTTTCGAAATTCGCCGAGGTATGTCTAGAACGGATTTTTATTTATAACATACTCCTAATGGTATTTTTTGTATTCAGTTGGTCAACACGGAAATGTTTTGGGTGGTCAGCGAGATCTGTTCGGAACACAACCTCATCAGACGGTCCAAGATGATCAAACAATTCATAAAAGTAGCTCGTGAGTATTTATAGGCGTGTTTACAGTGTTGTATAATAACTAGTAGTGTAACGTGTTGTTACTATAATAAAATTACTTTTTTTGTAACGTGTTACGTAACTTTATCACATTCTATGCTAAGTAATAAAACAGTCGTTTTTACTGTCCATCATAGTTAGTTTGAAATAAGTAACGTGTTTAAAAATATTCCTTAATAAGAAAAATAATTTTCGTTTTAATTAATTTCCAAGTACTGAGAAAACATTTTATAACAATTAGCTTTGACTAATAAACCACATGCTGATACATAACAAAAAAATATAGTATCAAGCCATAACCTTTTTACAAAAAATCAATAACTTTTTTAGTTTCTATGTTAAATAAAGGAATTTCGGTAAAATTATATTTACTATCGAAAAATTAATTTAATTACTATGATAGTAACGTAAAGAGTGAACTGCAAAGTAATTTCATAATATTATTACAAAAGTGACAAACCTAACAATTACTTGTTAATCAATAACACTAACATATTTTACAAAAACAAAACCACTGACTGGCGTTTTTCTCTTCGACAGGACAATGTAAGGAATGTAAAAACTTCAATTCTATGTTTGCCATTATTTCGGGGCTGGGTCACGGGGCCGTTAGCCGATTACGACAATCGTGGGAAAAAATACCGACAAAATACCAAAGGCTGTTTGGGGACCTCCAAGACCTGATGGACCCTTCGCGAAACATGAGCAAATACCGTCAACTAGTCAGCAACGAACAATCTCAACCTCCAATCGTAAGAGTCATTGCCTAGTTTTTTCTTATATTAATATTGCATTTGATTTTTGTTTGATCCATTTTTTTTTTTTTAGATTCCATTCTATCCGGTAGTCAAGAAAGACCTAACGTTCATACACCTGGGCAACGATACTCACGTGGAAGATTTAATTAATTTTGAAAAACTCAGGATGATCGCCAAAGAAGTGAGAAACCTGACCAACATGTGCTCGTCTCCGTACGACTTGCTCACTATGTTGGAACTGGGTGGACAGCCGACGTCCAATGCCATGGTGGCCCTGAACCAACTCACTACCGGTGCCAGCGGTGGACCACACCAAGCGGGAGCGGCGACGGTCAAAAGAAGAAAAAAGTCGACCGCAGCTCCCAACCCAAAGAAGATGTTTGAAGAAGTACGAGAAAACATAATATTAAAAACTTTTGTTAAGATTGTTGTATTGACTTTAATAATTTACTGTGCGTTAGGCTCAAATGGTAAGAAGAGTAAAAGCTTATCTTGCCAAAATGAAAGTAATTACTGATGAAGAAAAACTACACGAGTTATCTATGAGCTGTGAAGGCTCGAGCGCTGGCGGTTCCATCATGGGTACCGGACCTATTCGTAAGAGACACCCTTCACCTACGCTTTCCACGGCCAGTAGTGCTAGCAGTGCCAGCGAAGGACTAAAAAATAGCGGTCCTAAATTCGGTACGTTTAAAAATGTTCACGTTCTATTAAAGAAGAATCATTTATTTATGGTTATGTTTGTTATTTAGGCTCTGCGTCGCCCCAAGCGGTTAGGAAACTATTGTCCTTGAGTGAGCCCAGCAAAACCAGATTGCACCAGCCTAGGTATCACATGGCACCTTCTCCGGGTCCTCCGACACGACGGAACATCCACCAGCCACCAATTGTTCCAGTCACATCGCATGAACGTTCGCATTCAGACACTACCCCTTTGAACCCTCCACCGCCGTTGCTCTTATCCTCCGTTGATCTAAATGCTGAGAGTAGTAGCGTTACCAGCTTGTCAAACTTGTCCCTAAAAAAAACCGTGACATCGAGTAAGCTAACATTTTTATCCCTGTTTTAACCGTTTTTAGTGCAACATTGTATGTTCATTTTTATATCCGTTTTAGCGGGATCTGTTACGTCCAGCGATTCGGGGCATTCCACTCAGACTAGCGGCTCAGCAGATGTTTGTATGCCACAGGGAGCTTCGCCTCCACCACCACTCCATTTGAGGAGACATTCTGTGCTACAACCTCCAAGTAATTTTCAAAATTACTCATTGTTGGACGTCTTTTTGGACTACTATTAATCTGCTACGCATTGTTTTTATAGCTGGTTACCAAATAGGAAACCGGCCGATGTATGCGCCGAACGTGCAAACCGTAGGGTCCAATTGTGTACGATCGAGGCCACCTCCAGCGTACAATGCAAGTGTTGCTCAAATGGCGGCCAGGATGCATCGTCTGGGTAGAGCGCATTCTCACGAGGGCGTTACATCAACTTATTACATGAGGGATGATGTCAACGACGACGATGGTAATAATTAATAGCCTTGTTATAAATTAATCATCAAGTTTTACTAAACTTTAAAATGGTAATAGATGACGACGCTCAAGTGTCCGCAGTATGACTAGTCAAAATGCCTTCGATGGAGAATAATAAACAGCCATGAACATATCAAAACAAAACCAAAAGCGCTTGTGAAATTTTTTTAAATTATTGTTTTTCAGTTTACGTATAAGTACAAAACACTTTTAATATACATTACATTGTTGTGTATGTTTGAAAGCTAACCAATTTTCGGTTATAGATATTGTTTTGTGGTTATTCTCAAAAACTGGGTAACTATAGTTTTCTATTAATCTTTTCTACAAACATTTCTCGTGTGCAAGCGTGCGTGCAACATGTATAAGCTATTTATGTAATTTTATTAGCATGTTATTTTTATTATTTTTTTTTGTATATATATATAAATAATAATTATTATTGAAAAGTGTTATTTTTTTTTGTTTATAACTGTATCGACCGAAAATAAACCTATATGATCATAATACACGTTACAATATAGAACATCTTATAGTATTGTAAAATAGTAAGTTGATCATTTGACATAATATGGACAAGAAAAAATACTTAAAAAAACACACCAATGCGTGTTAGTTGTTGATTCTATTTAACTCGATTGAAAGTATTATTTTGTATAAATTGTTTGGTTATTGGACAAATCGTCTAAGCCAACTATGTCATGTGTATAATCCATTATATTAATATTAGTAATTATTATTGCCTTTGTGTTATATGATTTATAATTTTTTTTTTGTCATTTGTTTTTAAATTTTATTCCTAAATTTTATATTGTACATCTGGCATTGAATTTAATTTATATATTGTTGCTATCGACTGAGTATGTGTAAATCATTCATAAAGATTATTGTGTTTTTTTTTCTATCAATTTTATTTGTATTTACTTTTTACCATGACATTAAGCTTTATTTAAATGTTGAAACATGAACACTATGCCAAATCATAATTTTACGACCAATGATATTATCCATCCATGAACAATGCTTTTTCTTTGATCAGCGTGGATTATTTATGTGGAATCGAAAGTTATAAAAAAACAAAATATTTTCGTATTTCCTTCATAATAAAATATGTCCTATGTTTATTTATTAGTCTTTTTATTTTTTATTTATTTAACAAATGACCAACTGTATGGATATGTTCACATTATTGTTGAAATTTGTCTTTTTGTTGTTATATCACCTAAACTGAGTATCTTCTGCCAATATTTTACTGTCAAAACTCACTAGGACGATTTTGACACTCATTTTAAGTTACTAAAGATCGGGTAAATCTTTGTCACAATGTGGGCTTTATAGTTTACTTCGGTCTAAAGGTAAACGTAATATTCTTTAGATAAAGTTTGGCAACGACAGTTACAGAGTTATGTTGTTATGGTGTATCGTTTCGGTAATATTAATAAAAAAAACATAAGAAATCACAAAATGGGAAATTTATGAAAACAGCTAAATATGTTATAAAAAAAATTGCTATATTACATTTTAGGTTGAATGAATCGATAAAACTGTGCTAAAGTTTCTCAGAAAAAAATTGTTGATACTCTACTAAGCATAATTCGGTACATCTATTACAGTAACTGTAATATTAACTTAATATTTACAAATTAATAAAAGCTATGTAAGCAGGCATATTTTAAGAATGAGGTGTGAGATACAAACAGATGTGTTTAATACTGTTATAATGTTTTATGGTTTCACAAAAATAATCATAATAAATTGTTTCCCATCTAATACTATATTATAATACTAGTCAAGGATCAAAAATAACTTAAAAAATTGAACACGAAAATAGTACTCATCTATAATTGAAGTACAATATTACTAATTAGAATTATTAAGAATTTAAAATAATATCTTAATTGAACATTTAATATTAAACAAGTTATCCATGTTGATCATCATTTCAAAAAGCTTTTTAAAAAAATATTAATATACTAAGTTTTATAACGATTCAACTTAATCGCTCAATTATTGTAACTTAATAAAATTAATGTTGTAAATAGTAAAATAATAAATAATAATCGTGAAAAAAAAAACAGAAGGTGACAATAATTTAGAGATGGGTCGTAATTGAAAACAACACTATCTCCTATACATGGCTTTGGCTTCCGCTGTTAGTTTTCTTATCCTACCTCTGCTGCTCACTGACACCCTTATGTTAACACTGTTCTCTTCTTCGTCGTCGTCGTCGTCATTAGTACTCTCGCATGAACTCTTTTCACTACGCTCTGCATAATCCCTTTTTTGTTTGGTTCTCAGACTTTTTGGACGGATAGCCACTTGGTCGACACACTCGTCACTACTTTCTCCTGAACCTTCCACCATTTTCGCATAGTCCCTACGTTTATTCTGCCTCAGATTTTTTGACACCTGGTTATTGGCAGGCATGTTGCCATTCATAAATCTTGAATGAGCTGGCTTGACTGTCCCCCGGGAGGAAGACGCTTGTGGTTGTAGTTGTTCGTCATCATCGTCTTCATCGTGGAACCTAGTAGTTTGCCGTCTGCTGGTTATAGGAGGTATTTCAAATATTTCTTCTCTCATGGGCAGCCGCCTACTACGTGAAGGTCTGGTCGGCATTACATCGTCGCTGTCACCGCTGTCGTTGTATCGGTAAATGGACTTGCAAGTCCTTGATGAGTACCGACGAAGAGGAGTTGGGGTTTCAGTTTGCGTTTCTTCTTTAACAGTCTCATTTCTGCTAGTTGAAGGCGTCTCTGTGTTTTTTTTTGTCTTGACCTGACTTGCTCTAGTCCTCTCATCTAAAAAAAATTCAGTAAGTAAAATAAAAAATTATAGATTTTAAAAATGTTTAGAGATTCTTATTATCCCATCCCTCATTTCATTAGCTCTATGCTCTATTCTGACTTTCTCTGTCCATTACCATCGAGTAGTCAGCTAACTAATACTCACTGTGCGCATAACTGGTCGATGGCTGGTTAGGGTCAAATTTCACATCCTCTTCTTCTCCCAAAGATTGATCTGTGGACTCTTCATTCATTGGAACAACTGGTATCCGCCGCGGTCGTTTGGGCAACTGATTATTAAAATCATCATCGCTGTTGTCTTCACTAGGACTGTTATCATAGGTCCTCCTTCTTTTCAGCCTACACCTCCGCTGCGGTCGTGAACTCAAATGATTGGCCAACGCTGTTGAAAAAACACAAAACAAAAATATATATTAACAATGTTAAAAACGCAAAGAAGAATAAGTATATGATATGATCTCACATGAAGTTTTGGAACGTTTTGACATCGTATTCCAGTCGTTGAGTATTTTGGTTATATTCGGTTCAACCATGTCGATCATATTTTGTCTCATGTTCTCCACCTTTACACAATTGATAAAACCGTCGTCAATCATATTAATAAATTTGTTATGTTCAATAAAACAAAAACATACTGTTTGATCAGGATGCACTTCGGTGTATATCCGAGAGTTTTCAAACACTCTCCTAACATCTTCACAAAACTCTTCAGGGCTGTTGTAGTTGTCACCACGCAGGTCCTCCCTGATTGAAGTCAAATCCATAGGTGTGTTCACTACCCGTCCGTAATCTGGATACTTGGTGTAATCTACTGGTTCTCTACAACAATTCATCTCATCAAAAAACTACGAACATCTGGTTTATTTACAATAATACTATTATGTATAATATTAAATGGTTAAAAAATCAATGGCTAAAGTAATATTCATCCATTTTTGGTCTTAGTACTTACATAATATTATCAATATTTATATTAATTATAGTACTAAGTAAATGTAAATGTAGGAAATTTTTTTTTAATAATTTTAACCGTGAACAAAACTTAAAAATATACTAAATTCAGCAAATGGTGGAAATTGTTTTACCTGAAAGGCGTGCTATCTTTAGATATCCACATCATCTGTAAAAACTTTTTACATTCTGCTTTCCAGTTGAATGGTTGATTGCATTCTCGTCTGCTCCTCTCTCTCAACGACCGAGGCCTTAGTTTTCTGGGTCGATTGTAATTAGTGTTACCGTTTTTCTTGTTTTCTTCTTCGCTATTTTTGTAATTTTGCTGCAACTGACGGCACAATGCAGGCACTTCGACAGCCGTAGGAGTTCTGAAAACAGAATCTCATGGATGGAAAAAAATACATTTTATTAGGCTAAGAACTTTTTGATAACATACTTGATGATAGTTAGCAATATCTCTGTAATAATGCGAGCGTTCTTTACAATATCACTGCTCTCCTCATTGAACTTTTCCGCATTGCTTGCTATGTAACGTGCGTCAAACTGGACGGCAGCTAGCCGCCTGTAAAAACGGTTTTCCAGTCTCGCCTAATAAGCAAAAACAAAGTAATTATTAAAATGAACTGCCAAATTTTAAACGCAAGCCCGTTTTACCTTAATGATGGACAGATCAATAAAATATTCTACAATGTACGCGTACGACGGATACTCTTGTATGTCAACAGGAGCCAAAAAAGGTTCTGCCAGAGACATCGTCATGAGATCATGTAGTCCTCTCAGTATGCGATCACAGATCATGTCGCGAGAACCACTTGGCCATTCTTTGTTCCCAGACTCTGGTCTGTACAGAATGTCTTTCATTTCTTTGGAAGTCACTGGCAGAGATTCACCATTCAGAGGCTCTCCTTAATAAAACAAAAAAAACCAAATCAGCCATTGGCTTTCAACCATAAATCAATGTCACTTACTTTTAGGATTGATAGGTTCCATATCCCAGGGACTTAGATTTTCATTTTCGTCGTTGTCCCAAAGGACTTGATAACAGAGGAATGGAGATCGAGAAGTGGTTTTTTCCACTATCTTACCGCACCACCAAGCATTGTCGATCATACTACGGAATCGCTGTCCTATAGAATATTTGGTAATTATCTGTATTGCTTCTATTATTAAGCGATGAGCATGTATAAAAAAATGTCATAATATTTTACTATTAACCTTCTTTCCAGTTTCTGGCTAAACCGGCTTCGTAAGTCTGCCGCAAAACTAGGAAATCAATTACATCCTGCATATCATGGTACTTAAGATCGAAGCTCGATGAAGTGTGGTCACCGTTTTCTTTTAACACAGCCAAACGCAATCCGCACAAACGTGGTGGTCTGATCTCGTACTTAATGCCAATGACTTTCACCATTTGAGGTTCCTTTAAAATAAAGGTTTACCTTAATACACAGGTACATATGATTTGATTTGCCCTACAAATAAATTTCTTACTTTCAGTTTTAGGTTACCCCACGGTACGAACTGTGACTTTTTTAATTTGTACACCTTTTTAGCTTGAACTGCTTCTAAATACAAGTTGTAACCTTGTTCGAAAAACATTAGGATATCGCCCATTTGTGGGAAATAAGGAGATTTCTTAGGCAAAACTTCTGAGAACCACTCTGAAGGCCTGTAAATTTCCGGTACTTCCTAAATTGTGATTGTACATATAAATCATAGAGTATTGATAAATGTTAGGCGAGAAGATGTTTTTAGTTTTAATTACTTTTTGTACTTTTCTGGGAGGTACAGTTCTAGGCCCTTCTTGCGGTGAAGATGGTGGCGATGGCGAAGATGGAGGAGTGGTTGCTCTTTTAACACGTCTCCTGCGATGCTGAGTACGTTTAGGCGGCTCTAAATTTGTACCACTATCAGCCACCCAATCAGAATACTCAGAACTGTCGCCTGAATTTGTATCTGAAGATGTATCCACTTTTTCATCAGTAGCAGCCCCTTCTACATAATCGGCATCTTCTTCGGATTCAGATGGATTTGAAGAAGATCTATTCTCCTAATCACACACAAAATTGATTACGCACTCTTCATATTATTTGATAAAAATATTATAAAAAATTAAGGATGAGTTGGCCAGGCGGATAGACAGCAAAGTGTTGCGCTTACTGTCACTGGTTCAGGAGGTTCTTTTTGCTGGGAAGGATTACCGTTTAGTAAAAAAAGAGTTGTCATCCCCTTATCTCGCGACGTACTGATGACCCTACCCAGATATAAAATCTGTGAGGAAACCTCCTTTCAAGATGAGGCAGCAATGGCCCTACATAGGCTGCTTTAGCTATTTCTGATTCTGATTATTAAAATTTACCTGGGCTTCGTTTTCAACGTTTGTTGCTCTGGTGAGATAGGAATGTTGTGCTTGTGGCCTTCTCTTTGGTTTGATGGACGAGACTTGAGGCTTTTCATCAATCACTAACGGTTTCATACTTTCTGTAGTGAACTCTTCTTCTTCCATAACTCCCAACAATTTTCTACAACAAGCAAATAATTTTAAAATGAACCATTATAAATAAATTAATTAATAAAATATAAGAGGAATTGAAGAGGATTATTACTATCAACAAAACTAAAACAATGTACTAACATTTTGTTTTGTATCTCATCCATGATGGACTGTTTTAATGGTTTACATAGAATTCTCGGTCTGTTTTCATTTGAATCCATATTACCATTTTGTTCCAATGATGGATGCAAACTAATAACCCCTGAAAGACGTGTATAAAGACTATAGTATAGTAAAGTAGTACAATTAATTTAATGGTTTTAAGTACTTGATTGATTAGGAGAATTATTGGAAAGATGCTCAACAGTGTTCATATTAGCCGTTCCTCTGATCCCAATCACTTCAGTTCGTCCTAAAACAAAATAAAATTATAAAATATATCTAACATATCAAATTATGATTAATTAAAGCTAACCTAGTTCATTAATTATAACGTCAGCCACTAATTGTAAAGGTCCTTCGTTCTCTTTTCCGGGAACAAGTTTCTGGACTTCTGGAGGATGAGGTGATCCGTCAGAGTCTACTAAAAACGGCGGTGGCATTAAATGTGGTTCCATATTAGTTTGTTCGTCTAACACTGAGTGATCAGGTGCTCGTAACAATGGTCGATAATCAGTATGGAAGAATACTTCATAAGGTACCATCTAAAAATGTATTTAAATGTTATATTAAGGTTGTATGATCATTTATTTTTAATAGAACTACATACTTTTCTTCGAGGAGAAGATTCTCCTATTCCATAGGTTAACAAATGACCTTGTGAATCGGTCACTGAAAACATAGTCCCATCGGGAGACCATTTAGCATCATACAATGCAGCAAAGCCTTGTCCTTCGATAGTATTTTGAAATGACACCAGTACTTCTCCAGTTACAATATTCCACAAGAATATTTTTCCATCATGGCCAGCACTCAATAATATCTTTGTAAATTATTTAATAAAATATAACTAGTTATTATATTCCTAGTAAAACTAAATCACGTAGCCCTCGATTACATAAAGTAAATTTATTAGCTACTCGCTAGATATTTTATTTACATTGCTGTGGGTAGTTGTCGTAAACAAGTGAGCAAGTTTTACTACTTTTTATTCACTCATTGTTAGTGTAAATGATACTTGCTAAGATAGTTGCAATCGCGTAATCGCTCAAGACTAATTGCTTTCGAATAGCTAGTAAGTTCACCTAGTGTAATCGAGAATTTAGAGATACTGACCTTTGAATGGAAAGGATGTGATTCCAAAACGTAAACTTCCTTTTTATGTCCAGTCATGACTTGCAACAGTTCAGTAGTGTAAGAGTCCCATACTTTAATAGTCATATCAATACAAGCGGTAATTATCCAACGATCGCTTTGATCCCAACATAAATACGTAACCGATTGTTTAACTTGCTTACTAAGTTCTTCGACTGAAACCTTTTCAGTAGCACTATAATAATTTAATAAATGATTTTACTCTGTACAAAAATTACAACCAAAACAATTTCAGCTTTAAAAAAACCTTTTTTTTAGTTTCGTCGTCATATTAAGTGTTTTATATTTCCACTGTTGATTTCTATAAGACCAAATTAATGCAGTTCCATCTTTTGAACCAGAGCTGAATCTTAAACCACTATGTGCCCATTGTATAGAATCTACAGAATCAGAATGCGCTTCCATTTCCATTAGTCGTACGGGAGCAGATTCATCTGGAGTTGGAGGTGTCATTTTGTAGACTCGAACATTATGATCAGCACTGCCTGTAGCAAACATTATACCACCGGCAGAGAAAGCACCACACAAAATCTTTGCACTACCAGGCCTCATACGTTCGTTGTAAACTGTTAAGTTAGGTCTAAAAAAAATGTTTAATAAGGCTTGTAAAATTATTGTACAGTAAAACCTATAATATAAATAAATTTAAAATGGACCCTAAATAAACTAATTGTAAAAGAGGAATTTGTCCTGATTCCGCCGCCAAATTGTACTGCAATTAAATTTTATTTAATAAGACAAAAACTGCTTAATAGATATTTTCTTTTGGTCCCATGCGATTCCATCCTAACAGGTTTCTTTGTACACAGACTGTTTTTTATTTATACTCACTCAAACACTGTACTTCCGTTACTTGATCTAAATGGCCAAAATACAACAGAACCATCTGTACTAGTAGAAGCTATGTAGCCTAGTCCGTTGAATGTCTGAGGACAAAAGTTTACTGTGACAATCATACTGGCGTGTGCTACCACATGAGCGATCTAAAAACAAAATTTAAGTTTTAAATAGTACCTATGATGTTATTTCAGTAACATACAGGTCTAGCAGTTTGAAGACACCACACTCTTAACACTTTATCCATGCTTCCCGCAGCAATCAATGAGGCTTGAGTGTTAATGGCAATATCAGTAATTTCAGCACTTGCTCCTCGTAAAGTTGATAAAAGACGTCCAGAACTTGCTTCCCACAACTTAACTAAATAATCATCAGCTCCCTGTAATGAGATAGGTGAGATACTTAGAAAATGGTTTGTTTTATTGTCAAATCATACTCACCGTCGCAATATATCTGCCAGATGTATCAAAGCATACACAATAAACCGCAGTCAGGTGGCCCAACACTCGTCCATGAACCTTGACGTAAGAAAATTTTGATAAAGGTAATAAATATCTTTTGTCGACAGTTCCGGACACTTCACGACCATAAAGTATTTTAACTAAAAGGTATTTCGCATAGTTAAAACATGTTTTTATATTTTAAATTTGTAGCTTTGATAAAATTACCAATATTTTGACCACGTATATGCAAAGGAGGCAATGGTAAAGTACTATGTTGACGAGTTAAACAATCAATTAAGGATAAATATTTGCGTTTTTCTAAAATTTTTAAATTTTATTAATATATATTTATACATGTTCCAGTTAAAAAATTACAAGAAGAAAAGATTATATTTATGTATGTATAAATATACATACATATAATTTAGAAAAATATAGGACATACTTTGAGTATTGACGAGAGAGAAACTCCCTTTTCCGAGCAATGAGAAAACCACTGGTACTGATGATTTTTCATAATTGCTCAATGTTTTTATTTTTTGGCAAATTTCTAATAGATGGTTTGATTTGATATGATCATATTTTTTTTCCTAGAAACCGAGAAAATTATTTAGCATTATTCATATATTAGATAATACAGTTAATTTTTATGAATCACTAGATAAATGATACCATAAATCACTAGATTTATGGTATCAAATACCCAAGTTAAGATAAATTTATCAGAAATATTTGTTTAATATTTTACGTTTTAGGTAGTTGAAAATGAAATATTATTGCTTTTCTATGTATATGTAAACAAATACTTAAAATAGTTATTATTAACAGTTCGAAAAAAAATACATTATATAATTATCAAAAAACAGTTAATAATTAAAAATATATGTATCATGATATTTAAATAGTAGTTTCAGCTTTTACACCCACAAATACATACATAAATATTTTTTGGTTATGTTTTGATTTTAAATGCCCTTCTTATTCCCAGCCTCACAATTAGATTGTTTGGAATTTTTAATATTTTTTAAATGAGGAATAATAATAATAAAAACCTTAGAACACACAGAATTTTCTGATAATAATTGTAGTACAACAGGCATTGTATTTATACATTCAACATTTAGGTTATCTATTTCTATCAGTATGAAAAAAAGGAATTCGGTAAACCAACTATAACAAACATAACCTAATATATAAAAATTCTAATAAACAAATTCTGTTAAGAGTACGCTACCCACAGGTAATTTGTAGGAGAAAACAAGGTTTTTTATGTGAATGAAAACTGTAGAGGCTGTGATAGTACTAAATTAACCAAATTTTCATAGAAAAATAAAGGAGAACATTATCTATGCTAAAGCAATGAGTTGTAATTCATTTACCCCGCCACAAGCATGCTTAATGGGGTAAATTAATCATAACATTCAAAATTGTAACTTATATTGTAATGCATAACAATGATTTATATCAATATCAAAGCGTGGTAACTTTTTGACAGATCAAACAATTTTTTTTTTATGAATTTCAAAGTTAAGGCTTTTTTAGTATTTTTCAATAAATTATTTAAAGTTAGTAGATCTTGTTATGGAAAATTAAAAAACGCTTAATCACAGATACAACTCTCTTTGGTTTTGAATGATAAATGCCTCCATCTTCTTAACACATTTTAATATTGGGTTTGTCGAATTGTTATTGTCAATGTCACATTACCCAATATATTATATCAATAGTATTATCATTTGTTTCTCAAACATAATCTGTCACATTTACATTCTGAAATTCCACATTAACCCTTGATTGGTTCCAATTGTAAATGTGCTTATTGAAAGGAGTCTATTAGACCCTGCACAACTAAACAACATTTAAACTCTAAATATATCAAAGCACTGTGTAATAAATAAATAAAATTATACTGGTTAAATACAATTTCACAAATATTACAATTCTGATCCAATTCTATAATTAAGATGACATTTTTATATTGTAATAAATAGTACCTATAGTTAATCTGTCATTATAATTAAATATTTATTCATAAAATATATTAAATATAATTTAGTTACCAATTCGTCAAATGTTTGTGGATTTTCTTCGCCAAAAAAGTCAATACGTGTTGGTAATATCTAAGAAGGTTAAAAATATTATTTTTTTTTTTATTGAACTTATAAATACTATTAATTGATAACTTACATTAGATTCATTCAAATCAGATTTGAGAGCCTGTAATAAAAAAAATTAAGAGTAATTAATAAATACAATTGTTTATTGGCATGAAATATGAATTATTAACTGGAAAGTTTGTAATTTCTATAAATATTATTAACCTAATAACAAATAAAAAATTCACTCACTTCAAATGCATTTTTAAACTGACTTTCTTTCAGGAATTTAGCAACCAAAAAGAATAACTCTGCAATTACAATTCAAAATTACAATAAGACATCATGCAATTAAAAGTAAATAGTACATTGTAGGCAAATTTTGTCATCTCACCAGATTTAATACTATTGTTTTCTTCTTGCTTTTCTTCTGGAGACTTATCCATTGAAACTGGTTAAATTTACAAATTTGTCATACTGACGAGCTCAAACACAGATGCCGATTTTCCATTACTACCTAAAACCGCCAAAGCATTAAATGATATTAAAACAAATAAGGAAGTTAAATTTTTGGAAATAAGTACGTACGGATAAACATAAACAAAACAATATAGATATCAACTTTCCTGCAATACCAGACGTAACAGTAGTTTTCCAAAGATTTACAATGCAGCTGCTGCTGATATGACTATCAACTATCATCACTCTTACAGTTGTTCAGAGAAAATTAAATGTATTCAGTAATAATATTACCACGGTAGTAGTATTCTATGATAAACTTCGGTTAAAATATTATATTATCATGGTGGCGAAATAATATTTAACGAGTTTCTTATCAGTGTATGGAGTTTGTACTCGCACGACAAAAGGTCTCCGTATGTGGGGCACTCATTGGTTTTTACAATGACTCTGCTAAAGCAACAATTATATCCTAGGTTGATTTGAATCACATTTTTTCCCATGTCATATTGAAATAGATTCCCGACTTGGAATCTACCAGGCACCACTTGGACTCATTTATTTATATTTGTATAAATAGTAGTGCTTAAATAGGCAAAAATACCAATAATCATTGCAAGTTATATTATAGTAAAATTATGTGATCGGTTCAACCTGTTCATCCATAATCGTAGTAGCAACCTAATATCATCATCATGCATATTGGCGAATGGCGCGATTAATAACATACTTTTAGTTGTATTGTATTTCTAACCTTATTACTCAATTATTTAATAATTGACAACAATTTGTTTCGTACATCAAACTTGAGTTACAACTTATTAAGTAATAAAACGAAAACAATTGTTTAAACACAAAAATCATATTATTTACACAAATTTATTGGTATTCAACACACACATTGGATATTATTTTAACATTTAAGTAGATAACACGTGTATACATTTAGTATTAATTTATAGTTTTAAAAATTATTTCCCTATTAAAAAATCGATTGGCAAAACACAATAACTATTATTTTATATACCCACAACATTTGAAGTATAATATTGTCATATTAAACATAAAAATCTATAATAAAAATAATAAACTATAACAAAATTAAAACAACTTTATAACTACTTAATAAATAATTTAACTTAATAGATTAACTTGAACGTAAGAACAAACATAACATACATTATACAAAATATGAAAACATATTGACATTATATTAAAAATTTTGGCTTCCAGTAATTGAACCTCTAGAAATATCTTCATTTTGTCTTAATTTCTAAATTAAAAAAAGGGTTTTGTTATTTAAAATCAAGAACTAGAATTAATTTCTTTAAAAAGTTTAAAAAAATTAGCATATAGAAAATAGGATATAGGATATAGAACATAACGAGGTCAGAAGATATAAAAAACTAACCATAATTATTGAGTTTTCCTTGAAAAACAATCCGCGTTTATTTAGTTTCTTAGCTATAAATGGCGTAAATAAGTCTGGATTGTTAACAGACTTGGAATTGCGGAAAATCGCACTCACTATTAGGCCAACTATAAATGTCATAATGAAGCCCAAGATTATATAATACAAGTAACTTATCCTATACAAATATATATAACCATCTTCTGGCCTAAAAAAAAATTAAAAAATTAATACAATTTCTACTTTATAGCAACGTCTCTTGAACACTAATACAATACTACATTAGCCTTACAAAATCAATTTTACATGTGTAATTGACAAAACCTAATGCGTTTATTTTTTTTAAGAAAAATAATACTTTTAAGCCATTTAAAAATTAAAATTAAAACCCTAAACATATTACTTTTTGTAGCAAAGAGTAAAATCAATGAATTCTAGTCATTTGAGGCATTAACATATTTTACTATTTAATATACATTTTGAAATAAACTAGTTTTTTGGCATAATGAAACATTGAATATTTTTCATAAGGCAAATGAAATGTATTAATTTTCGTAATGAGTGCCAATAGATACATAATCGAAAATTATCAAAACCATTAATAAATTGTTTACTCTTTAAATAATGAATGTTGCCTAAAAATAGTTTCATTTAATACTGTGCATGAATTTGTTGATGTAGGCAAGTTTTTGATAACAGGTTTAGGTCCTCCGAATCCAAGGACAAATGAAAATATCAAGCCTATTATAAGACCTGATAATGCACCCTGAAAATGTAAATTAAAACATGAGTTTCATTAAGAGACAATATAAATTATAGAACTTTATTGTAATATTATCTGAATTTTTTTACTTACGTTTTGATTGACACATGGTACTAAAACTCCGAGTGTAAATACCGCCAAAACAGGACCTCCAATTACGCCAAGTATAATCAAAGACGTTTGAAGGATAGAGCCAAAGTACTTAGCTAAGAAAGCTAATAGAATGCAAACACCGCCATAACAAAGAACTATTATTTTCATACAATAAACTTTCTTTGTGTCAGATATTTCACGTCTTTGCAATGGCTAAAACAACATCATTTTTCTAATTTATAATAACGATAAAAAATAATTGAATTTGAAAAAAAATTTGACAGTGAAACCTTTCAAAGGATGCTGAATAAACAAGGAAAACTGAATAAGTAGAAATTTGTCTATGTATGATCCAGTCAAACTACTTTGAATACATTTTTTTACTGAATAAGACAGTTTTCCCTTTTGTCCCGTGTGTTTCTGTTTTAGACAGGTTTCACTGTACTTGGAATTATTATTATTTTATAATATATTATACATTTATAGGTATACAATAATTTTGTAGGTAGACTTTTATATAATATTTAACCTTAATATAATCTTCCATCGTGACAGCAGCCAGAGAATTTAGTACTGGCGACACAGAACTCAAAGCCGAAGAGAATATACCCGCAACAAATAATCCCGTTAATCCAGGAATATTTCCCATTGTATCTAATACGTATAACGGCATCAATTGATCTTCACTAGCTATGCGACCGGACCTTTGAATATTACAATTTATTAAAGCAATGTATTGTTACAAATAATAATAAACTCCATTTAATTGAATCGAAATAATTCAAAAACGACATATGGGATTGTTTTTACAAAAAAAAGTTTTGTCAAATTAAATACTTATGTACATATGTACATTTTTTCAATGAGGGCCAAAAATTAATAAAATTTACCCCTTTAAAATCGAGAATACAAAAAAAAAATTGAAAGTACAGTGCTCTAAAACTTTTTTAAAAATAGTCAAATTAGTTCCAAATTTGTAAAGAATATTCTTTAGACATAGCACTATTGATAAACCAAAAAAACTTCATAAACCCTTTCCCTTTAATCCTTATTCCTTCAGGGGGTACAATGTTTTTATTAATATTTGTAATTCTACCGTTACAAATTTTTATTGAAGCGTTTATTTGAAAGTGATTTTATCACTTTCAGTTGTTTCAGTTCACATTCGTATTCATTTTTTTTATTTATAAAGAAATTTATATTTAAAACTATAAATTAGAAATACCAGACCCAAAAAATTAATTTAATTCCTGGAGTGTATGGTGAAATAATATTATTTACAGTTAGGATAAAATTTCAGTCTTATAACTTATGTAGTTTTTGAAATTAGCGATTTAATTTATTTACTTGACCGGGTCACATTTGTAATATTTGGAATAAATAGCTAAGCCTGAAAAGCACGTTGAAAGAGATAACAACGACAGTATTGGAAGGCTGATCCACAAAGATTTTACTGCAGTACGATAATCTTTCATTGTTAGATATCTTTGAACTTGAGTTTGATTAATTGCGTACAACGATAAATATGTAAACATTCCTCCAAAAACTAAGCTGAACACGCTATGCCTTTCCGTCGGATCTATATTAAAACTAAAAAAAAAAAATGTATCAAAAATAATTTATGATGAAACAAAATCGGGTACTCATATACAGGTACAATTTGTGTTATGAGTACATAGGTACATAGAAAATTGAGACTACACCACAGGTTACAAACAAAATTGTAAAGAAGTTCATTACAAGCAAATGGTCCAAAAATGTTCATTGTTCTCAAAATGTTTAAAAAAGGTTGAATGATGTAAATAAGTTGTTAAGTTTTACAAATATATATATTAATCAAGCTTCATAAGTTATTGAACTTTTGTTTGACTGTTTTTAGGTAACTAGATTATTTGATTTGTATGTAAAATAATTAACTGGTTCAGAAACACCTTAAAAATTGGCACACAAAAATCTAAGCTTAAATTTAAAAAAAATCATTGATCAGAAATATACTTTTGTATTTTTTACTGCAAAAATGGTAGTAATACGTTTAATAATATAAAATTTCTGACTTCTTATTTTTAATACTGCTGTCAGATGTCTATAGATAGTAACTTAGTTATAGGAAGTACAGACATTAATTAGTTTAATAATAATTTTTAATTACTTTGTGAATTCAATACGATCGTTTTCTTTAGCGATTCTCCAAATTTCTGATATACCGCCAGTTTCATACATAGCGACTCCAATCACAGCATAAATAGAAGCAAACATGAGAAGTGACTGAAAATTATAATATATTTGTACAAAATGATTTTAGCCATAACAAGTCTGTTTTACTATTATAACTATTGTTGGAAAATATTTACTTGAAATAAGTCAGTTATGATAACAGCTTTAATTCCTCCGATAGTTGAGTAGAACACACAAACTAGTCCAACTAGTAAAATAGATAATACTTGAGAAAGTCCGGTGACGGCTTCCAAAGCTAAAGCTGGAGCGTACAATACGATTGACATATAAAGTATCATTTGTACACTAAATGCTAACGATGTAACAATTCTTGTCAACTTCCCAAAACGTTTCTCCAAATACTGCGGAAAAAGCATTCCAAATAAAGCTTATACAAATTGTATATATATAATAAATACTTTAAAATTTACTTCGTAAACTGACAGATTTCCTAGTTTGAAGAATACAGGTAAAAAGATATATGCAATTATTGGTGTTCCTAGGATATAACCTATGTTGATTGCTGCAAATTGAGTTCCACGGCTATAATTTTCCGCACTTCCTCCAAACAATGAAATTGCAGACATAAAACTGGCCATTAGAGAAAATGCAACGGGAATTAAACTTTGATTTTTGTTTCCTAACATGTACTCCTAATAAAAAAAAAAAATAATAAATCAGTGATCATTAAGAAAAGGTAAATAGAATTTAAAAAAAATACCTGAGTTGTTTTCTGCTTGCCACCCGTAAATCTATAATACACTCCAATTGATGCAGATATCGATAACATTGTTCCGAAAACAATATAGTCGACAATTCCAAACGCCATACTTGCAATGTGTAAGTGAAATTTTCGTATTATTTTGACTAGAAAAATACATATATTTTTTTTATAAAAATTGATAACATATAAATATAAATTTAAATCTTAAGCGTCTTTAATTTATTGAATTAAAACAGATCAATAGGTAATTTTCATTGTCACTTAAATAAAGTGCTGGCGACATGTTTACGTGTATTAGCAATACTATTATAGAGCACCCTTCTATTAATATTACTGGTGTTATGACTTATGTTACAACAGTAACTAATTTGTAATTACCTGTAAACAAAAATTTATTCGTGTCACTTTTTCATTTTATATTCTTCTTTTTATTGCATCTAGCGAGTACTAGATCTAGTAGTAATCTAGTGAAAGGGTGTTCTATATTTAAAAAAGATAATTAGAGCGCAGCAATTAGATTAGATTTTAAATAAAACGATTAATGAGATGGACGTTATTATTTATTATATTATGTACTATGTAGGCATTATATCAAGGTGGAATTATCTAAATCCACCTTGCATTATATGGATATAGTTTTTCAAATTTACAGTTAACTGATAACACTGTTTAGACTGTTGTAAATTAAAATAAAAAAACACGGTAATAACTTTTACACTTGAATACCAATGTTTGTTTAAAAAATAAATCGAAGTCAAACTGGTTAATAAGAAAACAAGAAACAAATAGAAATTCAATTAAAAGTAAATCGTAAGTAGATTGGAAATATCATACCCGTATAAATACAAGCCGGCTGTCAGCTGTTAACATGATCAGTAACCGGTAATATTTGTTTTTATCATTTCATAATTTACCTGTCTTCTTATTTCTATTATGTTTTACTTAATACTTCCAAGTTCTATTACTTTCACTTTTCATTGCCGTTTAATAATTATTATTATAACGGTTATTTTTAATAATGAGATAAAAAATTAACTATTCAGTTGCGTACAGGAGCGGAAGTACTAGAAGTTCGTCCCGTCCCTTATTTTTTTTATATTAAATTTCCTCTGGTCAAAACCTTTTAAGAATTTTTTAATCTATAAATACTAAATAGTATAAATTAAATGTTGGTAATACCTGTTAATGTTTTTGGGTGTGCCTAGTAGCTTGGGTTGGTTACAAACTATTATTATTTGTTGTGTATTTACTATTGTATTTTTCAATGTACATTTAGCGTATACGTATTAAAGAAATAATTTTTTTAAATAATATTTTACGGCGTATTTGACCGGGAGTAGGCCTTATTCAGGCCTAGTTCGGTCGCCGGGGCCCGGGTGGGGCGCATGACATTTCACCATAACTGATGTTATACGACGTACATCTTCGGATTTTTTCCATACTGTAATTAAACACTGAACTGAATACATGGAACGCGCATAATGCATATTTTCCATGTAATAAAAGTGACCCGCCTCGGAGGCCGCCATTTTGAGTCCGTTTTCTAATTTTACTTACCATATCTAACTTTATTTAGTGATTTTCGATGATGGTTTCTGACTTCATATTGTTGTTATCATTTGTTTAGCCGGTGATAAAAGATAATACGATGTTATCAGATTTGTATCATGGAGTAAATGGTATATTACACCGTTTTATCCATGACCGGATTCAAAATGGCGGAAGCCAATTTATTTTCACAATGCACGTTCCATGTATTCAGTTCAGTGTAATTAAATTACTTTTTATTAAAGTAATTGAAAACAAACAAAAAGTAAAATTCGAAAAATTAAGCTATTAAAAATAACAACAAAAACTGACGACTTACGGCGCTTACCTATTATTATATTTTACACGTTTGCGGTTTGCATAATTTTAAAACTTAAAAAAAAAGCCAGTACAGTGATGTCGGGGTATAGTGGGGAGTGGGGACGGAGAGGTCACAGGTCTACAGATTTTATTATAACAAAATCATTTTTAAATAAACGCTTCGATGCGAATCTGTGAATAGTACGTTCAAATCAGTTATAGCGGTTTAGAAGATATCGTGGGACCAGCAATAATGTACTTAAAATTTAATATTTAGTCTTGTGCAGGGTGGATACGATAAGGGTTGATCGTCTATCTATAAAAATGTACTGTCATAGTTACCCATATATCGTAATTAACAATATAATGAAAATATTTGGATTACCTGTTGAATTTTGATTCGCTCACACGTAGCAACCTAGAAACTGACTACGGCCAAAGCGTAAATTTACTCTATTTTTGGTGTTTTTCCTTAATAAAAAAAAATTTGGCTACAGATTTTTGAGAAAAATATATATATGTGTTATAGTTCCATTTTAGATCTACCTTCGGTCTAATATTCAGATCTAAATCTCTAAAACTTAGCTTGAAAAAGTGAAATAAAGAAAAAAGTTCTATCCCTTCGGGGATAGGGTTTATGATATTTTTTTGGTGTTTTAATGTTTATCGATAGTACTATGTTTGAAGAACAATTCTTATAAATTTGGAACTTTTTCGACTATTTTTAAAAAAGTTATAGAGCATCGTAATTTTAAGTTGAAAAATTTGTAAATTATTTAGTGGTTTTTCTCGATGTTGATGGGGAAGGGGTGACTTTTTTACATTTTTGGCCTTACAAAAGTGCCTTCCATGTATGATTTCTGATCTACAGAGTTGGTACACGAAGAAATCGGTTCAGCGGTTTACGAGATATCGTGGGTCCAGACACAAAAATAAAAACACATCATTGTAAAAGCAGTACCTTCTCAGGCTCCGCATCGAAGCTAAAAACAAATAGGACGGTTTTATAATAGCTAATTTTACACCTAAAATTACTCCTGAGACATCTTAAGTATAGTTTAGCAATACTAAAATTGTAGGTTTATCTATACCTAATTGTTATAAGCCAGACGTTATGTTTTAGATAGAAAACGAATAGATTTAAGAAAAAAAAGTGAAATAAAGCAATTGGTAAATTCCAATAACACCGGATGATCATCTGATTAAATATGCTTACATAATAATTTTGATCACACCAAAAATTTTTAACTAGGTATTCACTTATTTTTTCAGAGTTATTTTTCAGGGAAATTGTTATTTGAATTGCATGTATGTTAATTTATTACCATTTACTAACAAAATTACAGAACTGATTTTAATGATAAAAAAGCAAATTTGCAAGGTTTTAACTAATTATAGTTACTGAGGTTTAATTACGTTGCGCAAAATTATTAAATTCTTAGGCACCACTAGGATCTAAGAGTTAAGAATTTTGGCCAAAAGATACATCCAATATATTTTTACAACTTAAAAAACAGTTCTTTATTTTTTTATTATAGTGGAGAAAATACGAGATTTTTCCTATTTTCCGACATGATAAAAAAATACTACCACAAAAAACTCCACCAATCTTTAATCTTCAAACATTAAATCATCATAATGTCGTTTAATACAAATCAAGTACAAGTACTTGATTGTAGTGGATATCTATTTGTAATTGTGTGTTTCTATTTTACCCGTCTAAAATATCGCAGTTACCGATCTAAAATGTATACAATAAAACAATATTCAGAATAGATATGCGAGTTATGTCATATTCAAGTAATAATTTAATATTAATTTGTATCAAATAATAAACCATAATACATACCGTGTCACTTGATCGATCCTCGCTCGCTTTTTAAAACGTTGTTACAACATTTATTTGTACTTATTATATAAATGTATAAGTTAAGTAGGTAACTAAACTGACATTTGTCAATGTGCCATTTGGTAACATAATTAAATAGGTACTTAATAATATTCATTTAGGATGTCGAATTTTTAAATACATATACAGTTTATCGACGCCCCCTACGAACAGTACTAGTAACTCACTTTAAAAATAAATGTATAACCGGCGAATAAGGTCGTATCTTTAATCGACCAAAGATTAAAGAAGTTTCAAAGAACACAATCGAATTACTACACTCTTTTGTCGGTAATACAGAAAACGCATTATCAGTTAAAAAAAAAAAAATTAAGTGAGTTACGACTGTTCTCGTTGGGTGCGTCGTTATATACATAGCTATTTATATAATTTAGTTCCACAGAAAACACTTTAATCATGAACATTGATAATTACATCAATAAAAAATAATAATTACATTAATAAAAACGGGGATTATTTGATTAGGTACCTACTTGTTAGATAAAAAATTCAGTTCACATTTTTATAATAAATTAATTTAATATAGGAACATTTCGTTTCATCAACATAATATGTTTCACAATGTTATTACCTATTTAGATATTACAATTAAAAAAAAACAATACAAATTCCTACAACATTAATATTTTATGTTTTTCTAAACAATTAGGTTATAGCTACTTTTTTTTTAGATTTAGACCAAATATAACACAATAAGAAATATTCTTTATATTGTTAATGAGTACAGTTTACATGTATTAAACACGTTCTAAATATATTGTAATTGCTAAAATACCCTCAACACTTATTGAATTAACTATCTGCTATAAGTGCGCTATATTATGTATCATATGTACGTCTGGCCTTCGTGTAATTATTGACTTTAATTGTTCTGTGACTTTCTTAATTCCTAAAAAAATAATATTTTTAAATACAACGCCTATTCGTAAAAATTTCGATAACGTTGGAAATTTTCTAGTTAATTTATAAAAGTTTTAAATTAAAATGTTTACTGTATACTGTTTATAGTATAGGTTAATAATTATTAACTTAATTAATTATGAAACCAATATACGAGGGTAAATATTTGTCTCTTTACTAGTTTTTTTGGAAAACGATTTTCGTCATAATAAGATACTTGCGTAATATTATACAAAACAAATTTACTTTTTTTTTAAATTAAAACAAATAGTTGAATTAATTTCTGCCTTTCCCTAAAAAACAAAATAAGGTTCCAGCAAAATTCAGTAATTTAATTAATTTCCTCTACTCTTCTTCTGATATCATTCTTTACTTTAATTCTCACCCCCTTCATGTAAACTCTAACTATTTATTTTGTTTTAAAAACCAATTTCGAAATTTAATTTGTTTTGTTCGTAATTCATATCAATATTTATAACTGTTGTACTAAAATATTTTTTCTAGAGCACTTTAATATAAGAGTAATTTAAAGATTTGGTTCAAAATATTGTTTTATCTTTTTAAAAAATCAAAATCCGAACACCCTGTGATATTATGTAAAGCTGAAAAGGTCTTAAACTTCGAAAAAAGCAGACCGCATCTAATCCACTTAATCTTCTCCTTGTTTTTTATACATTAAACGGTATAACAGACAATTAATATATATTACATTCTACCACTTCACTTCAGTACGAGGGAATAAAATTAATTTATAAAAAAGATCTACTAACCATGTCCATAAATGCTTGTTTATTTAATAGTCCTTGTTTTTTTATACGTTCGGCTACAAACGGAGTAAATAAGTCGGGATTTGTGTAGTGCGACCCACCAAAAGCTGCACTCACGACCAGACCAAATATAAATGTTACAGCGAATCCCAACACAATGTAATACATATAACTGATTCGAAACAAATATAAATAATCAATTTTTGGCCTGAAAAATTAATTTGACAATTATATAGATGTATGTTAAATAGTAATCAACTAGAGAAGCTCAATAATTGTAGAGTAATTATTACTCTTCGTGTAACGCAGTAGTTATAGTATGTAGATTAAAAGCCGTTTCGTCCAGCACGGTACACGAGTTCGTATATGTGGGTAAATTTTTTGGATGTGGTTTGGGGCCACCGAATCCAAGAATAAAAGAAAATATCAATCCCAATATAAGACCAGTAAATGCGCCCTAAAATATAGAAGAACAACTGATTAAATACAATATAGATATAAAAATTAGATTTTTTTTTCTTAAAAAATGTACTTTTTGATTAGCTTTTGGTATTAGTACTCCAAGTGTAAACACAGCTAAAACAGGGCCTCCAATCACGCCAAATATGGTTAAAGATGTTTGAAGGATAGAACCAATGTACTGAGCTAAGAAAGCCAATATAATGCAGACACCGCCATAAGCAAGAACTAACAGCTTCATATAATAAACTTTCTTTTTGTCGGGTATTTCATGTTTTCTAAATGGCTTGAATAATAAATAAAATAAATATTAACTCCATAACCTATTTTTTTTAGGGTCGTTCCCTATTTGCTGGTTGTTTACCTTGACGTAATCTTCCATTGTTACAGCGGCTAATGAATTCAAGATGGGCGACACTGAACTTAAGGCTGAAGAGAATATACCAGCAACGAATAAACCAGTTAACCCTGAAATATTCCCCATTGTTTCCAGGACATACAAAGGCATCAATTGTTCTTCGCTGGCAATACGACCAGTTCTTGAAAATATAAAATCGATCTATTTTATTCGTTCGTTTCGTACATATAAAATACGACGGTTGTGGGTACCGTATTTATAATTGACTTACTTAATGTTAGAAACTTTATTTTTAAATAGTTATATAAATTATCAATATTACTCTTCACACTTCTCAGTACCTAACTATTATCTGATATTGTGAAAAACAAATAATTTGTCGAACGGAAACTTAAAATTATCGTTTAAAGGATTTCTAGGTCAGAAGCCACAACACAATTTTGAACAAGAATCAAAATACATTTTTTTCAACGAATCCAAAGCTATAAACAATTTATCAGAATTATGTAATAGTCTTTTATGTAATAAAAATCCATACTGTAGGGTCGAGGCATTGTACGGGTGGATCCTATTGGGACCGGGGAGGTTACAGACCTACAGGAATGATTATGACTGGAAGTGTAACAATTACTTTCAAATAAACGCTTCTGTGTGAATCTGTAGATAATAGAATTAACGATAAAGCATTGCAATAACAAGAATGTGTTTAAAATTGTACTTATAGTATTATGATGTTTCCTATACATCATAGTTAATAACATAGCATAATAAAACTATTTTTCAGATACCTTTTAGAGATTCACTCTAACATGGCAACTTAGAAATTTACTAGTCAAGTGTAATTTTTTCCTTTTTTTTTTTTGTTGAACTAAAGTTTGACTACAGATTTTTGAGAAAATTGTATATGTTATAGCTCCATTTTAGACAGGTACTGCAGGACTTGAATATAATTTTCAGATCTTATGTTCTAAAATTTCGCTATATATACATGTAGAAAAAGAGAAATAAATTAAAAGTTTTCACCTTTTCTTGGAGAAAGGTTTTTATTGATATTTATTTGGTTTATCGACGTATATTAATAATAATATGCCTAAAGATATAACATATAAATTTGAAACTCATTCGAATATTTAAAAAAAAATTTAGTGCGTCCTAATTTTAAGATGGAAATATATGTAAATTTATTGAGTTTTTCTCAATTTTAAATGGGAAGGTTGATTTTTTTTAATTTTTGGCGAGTAAAGTATTTTTTTTTTCGTATGGCAAGAAAAGTACTTTCCAGGCATGATTGCTTACAAGTTGCTACATGAAGATATCGGTTGAGGACTTAAACTAAAAACGATTTTTTCCAAAGCTTAAGTTTAAAAAATTAATCCAACGTGCTGAAAATACCAAATAAAAAGGGTTTTTTTATGACTTTGGAGGAGAAAAATATATATTTTGGTTCTTTCCCTAGAGTGGACAAATTATGTTGTATAGTGTTAATGTTATTTTTTCCAAATTGAATGGTATATTGAATTATAACTATAATATAGATTATAGTACACATATTTTGCTATCATGAATTATCGTATAGCTAAGAATTATGTTTAAACTAGTAACTTAAATTCAAATATTAATGAAATTGAACGATGTATAGTTTAAAGGGTCTAGCCCTATGGATGAATTTAATGTTTGGCTAATTAATTTACAACTAAACATCTAAACACAGGCATTTTCACGAAAAAAATTGAAAAATCATGAAGAGTTTTGTAAAATTTTTAATACAATGCACTATGAAAAATAACGAAATAAAAGTTCATTTTCTAAATGTAGTACAATTTGACTTTCTCTCTTCTAGCCGCTCCTTACCATCCAATTTAATCATCTTTGTGGCATTATTTTAAAATCGAATTACAATAAGGTAGGCAAGCTTAATTGAGCATATGAGTATTCAATAAGAGATCGCTCTGGTTGGTCGACGTATACATTGTTGATATAGGTTTATATTTTTGACACTAATAGTGCTAATTAACTGAAACTTATATGGTCATCCATGAAACTGTGTTAAGAATGATAAGCCACTATCTATACGGCACTGGCTCTTTACAATTAGGTAGACGGCGTAACAACTTACCTGTGGTTTAAGTATATACGCAGCTATGATATAACTAATATAGGTCTACTATAAAAATGATTACCTGAGTGGATCACAGCTGTGATACTTTGAGTATATTGCCAAACCGGAGAAACTGGCCGATAGAGCCAAAAATATCATTAACGGGATGCTGTACCATATGGATTTAACGGCTGTCTGGTAGTCTTTCATTGTCAGGTACCGTTGCACTTGGGTTTGGTTTATGGCAAACAAAGATATACACGTGAAAAATCCACCAAAAACCGAACTAAACCAGCTGTGTCTTTCCGTTGGATCTATATTGAAGCTGAAATAATAAAAGCACACATACATTTGATATAAATATTATATAATAATACATTTAGAACGCAAACTGTGTACCATGTATGTATATTATATGTACATTATACATATATATTTATGTTATATGTTATGTATACAGTATACATACATATGTTTCAGTGAGAAAACTGATTAAATGCATTTGCAGTCGATGTCATAATTATATTTATTAATACATACTTTGAAAACTGAATGCGGTTAAATTTATTGCCTATTCTCCAAATTTCTGATACACTACCGGTTTCGTAAATTGCAACTCCGATTACCGCGTATACTGAGCCAAACATTAAAATAGACTGAAATTTTAGAAAAATTATTCTAATTCTATATTGACAGTTACTAAAGGCGGTCGGCAACCAATGTATTGCTTACTTGGAACAAATCGGTAATGATGACTGCTTTGATGCCACCAATCGTCGAATAGAACACACACACTAGACCAACTACGGTAATGGACGAAGTTCGTGACATCCCGGTAACGGCTTCTAAGGCTATAGCTGGAGCGTAAAGGACTATAGCCATGTAAAGTATCATTTGAACGCTGTAAGCCAATGACGTGGTGATTCGTATCAGGCGTCCGAACCGTAGTTCCAAGTACTGTAAAGCGAAAGCAAAGGATGTTCAAACATAACATATAATCTTTTGTAATGTATTTATTTTGTATGAAAATAATTTTACCTCATAGACCGAAAGATTTCCCAGTCTAAAGAACACTGGTAGATATATGTATGCGATTACGGGTGCCGCAAGCATGTATCCCAGGTAGTAGGTGGTAAATTGTGTTCCTCTCATATAGATTTCCGCACTGGCTCCAAACATGGCAATAGCAGACATGAAACTGGCCATCAATGAAAAGGCCACCGGAATCATACTCTGGTTTTGGTTTCCCAACATATACTCCTGCATCCGGTCAGACCGTATTTGGAGAAAAAAAAGTATAGTTAAGATATTATATTAGCCACATTTTTTGGTCATTCCGAACCTGAGTGGTTTTTTGCTTTCCGCCTGTAAATCTGTAGTATACGCCGATCGACGCTGATATTGTCAGCATGACAGCGAAAACAATGTAGTCGACAATGCCAAACGCCATGCCTAAAAAGCAAGCATCGCTTCTTAGTTGTAATCAATGAATTTGGATGCAGACAATATGAATGTGTTCTTTTATAAACTTTTAATATGAGCTGTCAAGAAGGATCGGCATTCAGGATTATTTTCATAACGATTCGAAACAGGGATGGACTTTTGAATTTTAACAGTTAACTTTTTTTCAAAGAAGTAAAAGTTTTATTTTTAACTTTTATTTCATAATTGTTTCGTTACAACTTTTGAAATAAAAGGTAACGCACATGATATCCACGCCGGATTCATGGAACGCAGTTGCCAGCTTCGCGGAATCAGTCCTGAGGGCAAAGGAGGAGGCGGAGAGGGCCAGACAACGTCCAGGGGAATGAACGTGGTGGTCAAGGGCGGCTAGTCATATGTAGAGAGGCTGTGTGGAACACCCTCTCAACAGAAGTGTATATATTGTGTTTAATACAATGAAGAGCATGGGCGATCCGGGGAGAAGTAATGCCTCACCAGGCAAGTTCCTCCCGGAATGCAATGGATGCACGGAAAAAAAAAAAGTAGGTATTACTTTAAAATTACTTTTACATGACTATTGTAAGACCAAAGTTAACTTATGGATGTGAAGCATGGCCAATGATAGCTCAAATCGAACAAAAACTAAGAAGCTTCGAGAATAAAGTACTAATAACAATATGTGGACCAGTGTTCGATACCGCAATAAATAGATGGCGTAGATGGAAAAATGCGGAATTAAGGGAAATTACCAAAGTGCCTTATACAACAAGCTACGTGAAGGGGCAGAGAATTCAGTGATTCGGACACACAATGAGAAGAGAAGAAACAAATGAAGCTAGCGCGTTAATTGAATACAAACCAATAGGAAGAAGACCCAGAAGCAGGCAAAAAAAAAAACAATGGATGGATGGAGTGCGTCAAGATCTGGAGAGATTAGAAATAATGGATTGAGAGGAAAGGATCCAGAATCGTGATTATTGGAGGACAGTGACAGTGGCAGCCAAAACTTTTGCAGAGTTGTGAGGCTACACGAAGAAGAAGGACAAAATTACTTTAAAAATTTAAGTTTAAAACAATTTTTTTTAAATTATCTATGTATATTTAATAACACTCATTTGAATCGATTAAAAACATTTATGATCATTTGTTTACATACATTTTATATAAAAGCATTTAAATAACTGTTAAAAATGTAAATTTTGGAAAAATTCTCCAACTGTTTGGTCAATTTTTGTATGGCTACAAATGTATAATTATGTTGGTACATATTTATATTTATGGTGTCAAATCAAGGTATCGTTAATACGTTGGAGGGCAGTAAATGTTGAAAAAACTTTGTACAAATAATTCAAGTTTTAATTTTGACCCGCCATAATAATATGTAAAAAGGTCAGACTGCGGTTAACGCTGAAGATGGCAACATAGTCGCCGAAATACCTACGCTATACTATAAGTATATTTTACTGTGGATAAGGTTTTTTCATAATCATAGTGTTTCAACACATTAGGGATGATTTAAAATATAGCATATTACGTACAATAATTTAAATTATAATACACTGTCACATTATTTTGACGAAACGGCTTCTCTATATTATTATTACAGAGTACCTAGATAAAATCAGAACGGATGGATCTACTCCTAACATTATATCTATACACAACTAACATTTAGAAATAACCTTAGATCATTTACAATATACTTATTAACTTATACACGTAGAGTTGCTACCACTTTCCCAAATTGTATAAATTACGATTGTTTATGACTAATTTCTTATCAGTAGTCGAATTTTTTACCAATATGGACGGCAGGTTAGTGGGACGGTATAGGCATTCGTTCGCTCGGCTCCGTCACTTCGGTAAACTAAACATATCCTAGGGGCTAGGTTAGCAGACTACAGTCTAGGAGAAGGTTACAGGTTTAAAGCAAAGTTAAAAAAATCTGATAAAAAACTGGTCATTGGAATAAAATATGGTCCTTAGTAACGTCGGCAATTTGGGAAGTGATGTTATCTTATATTAATGATAACAGTTAATGATAACATGAATTCAAATTTTTGGTTGTGTCTTGTACGAAAGTTTTCTAAAATGTCTTCAATTCCGTTTATTGGTATGCAATCTTAGTAATAATTATTCTGATATTGATAGATAATACAATTGTGTGTTGTATTTTTAAGATATTGGTGCAAATTTAACAGATCCCATGTATCAAGGAATCTACAATAGTAGCAAAAAACATAGGGAAGATTTGGGAGATGTCTTGGAACGGTCGTGGAAAAACGGTCTTAAAAAGATCATTATAACTAGTGGATGTTTAAATGATTGTGCGGGAGCCTTAAAAATAGCATCATTAAATGGTTTGTTATTTATATAGTTTGCTTAAAATACATTTTACAGTGTATTACTGGAGTTAGTAAAGGTAATAATGTGTAATAAAATATTGTTTTAGACAATCTTTACTGCACTGTTGGATGTCATCCCACACGTTGTGATGATTTTGATAAAGCAGAAAGTCCGAATATTTACTTAAATCATTTGGCTGATGTTATTAAAAACAACAAATCAAAAGTGGTAGCTATAGGCGAATGTGGATTGGATAACCAAAGATTACACTTTTGTTCCAAATTAGTTCAAGAAAAGTATGAATAAGTTGTATTAATAAGACACTAGAATATTTTTGTGTTCTAAGTATAATATTTTAAGGTATTTTGAAATGCAATTACAATTAAGCGCTCAATTTAATTTACCGTTATTCTTACACTGTCGTGATGCGGCTTTGACGTTTATGGATATAGTCAAGAGAAACCCTGATCTTGTAAAAGCAGGAGGTGTTGTTCATTCTTTTGACGGTAGCCTAGAAGAAGCCAAGGAATTTATCGACTTTGGATTTTATATTGGTATAAATGGCTGGTATGTTAACTCTAATTGAGATGATTTTGCAGTCATGTTGTAAAAAATAGTTAATACTTGTTAATATTTTGTATTTTAGTTCATTACGAACAGAAGAAAGTATAAAAACAGTAATTGCAATACCGTCTAATCGTCTGATGTTAGAAACCGACTGCCCTTGGTGTGAAATTAAACAAACACATCCATCTTATTCCCATATAAAAACCAAATTTGATTCGGTTAAAAAGGAAAAATATAAAGACGGATGTATGGTTAAAGGAAGAAATGAACCTTCTACCATTACGTAAGTTGGTGACACCTGTTTTAAGTAATAATGATTATTATATGTTGACGTCTAACCAAATAATATTATACATATATATATATATATATTTGTATATGTATTATAAGCTTATTTATGCAGCCAACATAAAAATTGTGTTATATATTAAATTGCGGATTAAGGTTGAATTACAATTGGCACAATATTATCTTACTATAATATTGTGCATGGCTAAACAAGAGATATAATGAAAGCATGATTAGCATAGTAGATGTTAGCATTGTTATGCATAATAATTCATAAGTAGACACTATTGTTGAAATTAAAAAATACTTACTTCACCTTTAATATCAAACTTTGTCTAGTAACTTTTAGTTCGGCAATCAGCTCTGATCTTAACCTGCTATACTAAGAACGTCACCTGATTGGAAATTCAAAGGTTAGAGAAGGATTTTGGCGCATATGAAACTATTACTTTACATTACAAAAAAATCTAAATAAAAATTGGCTTATCATACTGAATTTAATTTCAAATGTATAAATTACTATTTTTCAAGCTGAAAAATAAAACTAATAAAAAACTGTACTGTATTTACCTTACTATTATGTTTTTGTCAAGGCTTCAACGTGGCTTCACTATTTAATGACAACTAATAAAAAATAATAGATAATAATATATTCAACATTTTTTTTTTGATGTTTTACTATATAATTTTAAAGAAAAACACTTAATTAATAAGGAGAGGGCTCAGTTCTGTAAATTAAATACTAAACTCTTAATCTGATGTAACGTTTATAAACTAGTGTATGATGTCGGCTGCAGTCACGGATAATTGAGCGTATTCATCGTATTGTCAAAATCTATTTCACACCGTTTATTATTATTGAGATAAAATCTGTGCATTAGTCACATGTTATAATCTACCGTCTTTATCGTCTCATCCCGTCATAAACAATAATTATTGTAAAAACAATGTGTCCTAAATCTATTATCATTAATTATAATTGAAGAAAAATTAGATTCATTTAACAAAGATTAAAAATATCAAACGACTTTTAATTATACAATCTTAAAACTGAAATATTTAGTATTTATAGACTTTAATTTATGGTGGTTAATTTTATCTACCATACAGTGATGTGTTTAAATGTTTTAACGCTGACTATTGTTCTGTTTTCAAATGTATTAGCATTAATTGTTTAATTCTATTCTCGACTTGTCTCATTCACCAATGACAATTTTTGCATTGATTCATATATTATAGGAAATGACAAGTCTACTATTTGATAACTTCATCAAGAAAAATAATAAAATATTGAGATGAGTATGAAATAAAATACCCTTTTATCTATTATTTCCAAACAAAATCGGTTAGGTTTAGCAATGTTTTCTAATTATATACATTAGAAACGGTGTATTAATTTTTATGAGTCCTGTTTAGTATAAAAGTAAACTTGTATTACGTATACGTTTTATTTCATATGAGCGATAACTTACTGTAAATTGTTCGAACGCACTTTTTTTTTTTAATCACACTCGTCACGGATTACGATTTACTTAATTGGACCGATTATGCTAAGTATCGTAACTACGATCGATTGTATGAAAAATAGATTACGTTATGTTAATTACCACAGTAAATGATAAATAAAGTGCATGGGCTTAATTTCGCGTATTATGATTTGGGAGCGTAAGTTCATGCTCTAAAATGACCCAAATATTCGTTAAAAATTGTTTTGTCTTATTTTAGTAATTGTATTTAAGAAAAACACGTCATTTAAGTTGTTTACAAAACGTGGTTTTTTTTTATAAATTACAACAAACTAAAATTAACACGTTCACTGTCCTAATGTTAAATTAAATCAAAGGTCCTATGATCCATATATGGGTCACGTTAAACCTATTTAAGTAGTCCATGATCCACATGTGGTTCATTTCAAACATTTATTTCTCTGGATATTTATTTGTATGGACTATATTCTATGAAATTCATAATAACACAGTTGGACAGGTGAGATGATTGGGACTTAATTAATTAATTAATTAGGGACTTATCTAAAAATAAATCATAAACCACATAGGGGTCATCGGACAGTGAACGTGTTAAAACTTTTAAAAAACCGCAAGTAAAACAACTTCGGCGCATAGGCGCAAATACGGGGGGGCTAGGGTTAGCTTGGCCCCCCCAAAAAATTAGGTTATGCATACAATTTTGAAATACAAAAATATATTTACTTATACGTATATTTTAAAAAAATTTCCAGCCCCCCTAAATTAAAAATTGAAATTGCGCCTATGCTTCGGCGACAGAGCATATTGGGATCGGAGAAATATTAAATATTGATAAATATTATTGATCGATTAATAATGTGCTTAAAATTGTAATTTTAGAATTTAGGGTGGATGCAATTAAGCATGATCGTCTTTTTAATTCACACCTATCAGTGACGCGACAGTGTCTTGACCGGGCGATGTTAAAAATATTCTTTTGGCAATTGAATGGGGCTGTTTACACTCGTTCGACACGTGTCCGTGCCGATACAGTGATGTCACCGTGAACGTATGATTAGTCGGACGTGACGTGACAAACGGCGAGACGTTCTCTTGGTGTGATAGCAAGTTAAACGAATTTTCCGACATTCTAAAGTATTCGCAAAACTTGGTTTCATCATTCATCAATTCCTCATACAGAGTAGAAAATTCCCCTCCCATGTTTTATGGACCCACATCGGTTATTTTACTACTTTTTCTTTCTTACTCTTCTTCGTCCAAAATCGCAGCAATCATCAATAGTTCATTTTACGAAAACACAGCCATTTTGGCCACGACCTATAATAGACCCAATGACGGATGAAACACTGACCATTGTGAATAGAAATCACGGCTGGTGGAATATCGGTACGGTCACGGCACTGTCACGGAACCGTCACGTCACTGCTGTGTGTAAATAGACCTTAAAGGTCTAATTATCATTTCCAATTTTATCTCTGTACCTATCTCTATATGATCTCTTTATCCCAATTGTATCACTAGTATTTCCACGAAATCTTTTTAAAATTGTCATTTTAAATACTTCCATACATCCTCATTGAAATTGTGTAGGTACAGTTTTCATCTTACGCTTTATGCTACCTCTTTATCGCTAAATCATATCTATTGCTTGTTAAATCTCATCCAACCACCCTTTACTCTTTAGCCTACCCGTCACACATGATTCAATTCTTCTATTATCTTGTACAGGGTGATTCATTTAGGATAAGATACTTATTTTCTCTTAAAATAAATACAAATTTGTAGTGTTTTTTTTCCGGAGATTCTTTAGTTTATGTTATTTTACTAAAAAATATTCACATTTTTATCTTTTCTATTTTTTTACAAAGTGATATTAACTTTTAAAACTTAAATGGGATCGTATATATTTTTTATAACTGATTCTAAACAGTCTTCACTATTTCACCCTATTTATTTACTACCTAATCTCCTACCAGGGTAAACAGAGTTTTTACCTCTTTCTTAATAAATCTCCACATTATTAAACTTAAGAATATAACTATCCATTTTAGTTATTTTTTTAACCTATACTTTCTGCTGAAAAAACCTTTTATTTAAATGTTTCATTTCCCCATATAATTCTGTCAAATGCAATACACTGGCCTAAATGGTTCAAAGCATTTTGACCTCAGATGGTCTTTTTAAATTTAACTGTAAATTAATTGTATTCCTTATTTTGTTTTAGACAAGTATTGGAGTGTTTGGCGTCCGTAAGAAAGGAAGACCCCGTAAAACTTGGTACACAAATTTATGAAAACACCCTACATTTGTTTTTTAAAAATCAATAATGATTGAATTAATGACATATTTGGACTTAAATACATGTTAATAATTTGTTTCAATTTTTTTATTATTAGTCTTTTCCAGTTAGAAATCCAGGTATTGCTCCAAGGACCAAGTGTGACAAAAATAATTAAAAATAAATAATCAACAGTGATTAAAACATACAATTATTTTGAATGCATAATCCTACGAAGTATAGATCATCAGAATAGCTTTTTTAAAGTTATTCGAATTTGTTAATCATTTCAGTGTTATTTTACTGTCCACGGGGCCGGAAAAAATATTGGTTCATTGACAAAAGTTTAGTTGCATCTATGATAACTAAACTTTAATTTACTTGAACTACTATGGTGTTACTTTCGGTAACTAATGATTATATTAAAAGAACCATTACTTAGTAAATATACTACAAAATCTGATTGTCACGGATGCAGCCATACATTTTTTCCGTGTACGTTTTTTAGTCACCAGTTGTTTTATTTTACATATTTATTATACATATAATGAACAAAACGAATTTAAACCAGGTCTTTGGACAACTTGAGAGTTTATAAACCTAAACAAGTAAAATGTGACACAAGTTGGAGCATAAATAAAAAAAACTTTGCTGGGGTGACATCTGTGGAGCGCGTAAACATTAAGGGCCTATCTCGACGTAGGGTTTCTATAGCCGGTCGTTTGTTGATGTTGTATTTTTTTGCTCTCTAGATTACAGTTTAAACTTTGAGTGTTTATTTTTTAATCATTGGAGTTGTTTAAAGTTGGGCCCATTAAACACACTTGAAGGAGTTTGCGCACGTCTATGTCTTGATTTTAGCCGGAATTCCGGTTCCGGTGGAAAATTATATTTTGGTCTAACATAGTTATAATGTTGTTACGCGTACTATAATTTTAGCATTAAACATTGTTTTATGCTCGATCTGTTTTAGTATAATAAAACTTCCTATCCAATAATTTATATGTGTAGATTGCAGTGCATTTTGAAACCATAATTTTATTGTATTTTAACTGAATATATTTAGACGTTTCCAAGAAAATAAAATGCGAATATCTATTTCCATTTTAATAAACTTCATTAAGACTGTTGTGCGCTGTTATAATAACATGTAAATTGTAGGATGTAGATAGTAAAATAATTATTGTTCACAGCAGTACGTCTCGTATAGTATAGCATTTATGAAACGTTATAATATTTGCGTTAAAGTTTTAATAGGTTTCATCCATTATCAATCACATTATAAATCACATTATCAAAATTAAAACATTCCACTCTATTGGCTATGGCTACAATTGTAACATAATATTACATTAATTTCTTTAAACATCACACGCTCGGCTGAAGTTATGGCGAGAGGGGGTTGTGTAAAATAATGAAAACACATGCAAATACTATCTAAATAAAATGTTAATGGTTTTATTGACAAATATAATATTTGCATACTTGTTATATGATAAACGACAAAATATACTAATCTCTTTCTATTATTATATGCATACAATATAATATGATATATTTTATCTTATGTATAATTATATAATACTATTTATCTATTTGCAATGTGTCTTGTTATAACACATATGAAAAATAATATTTAATAATGATATATTATAATTTTTAAAAATATTTGTGTAATATCATGTAAGACATACCTAATAATAGTTAAAACAACTTATTATTGCATATTTTCAGATAATATCGTTACAGTTATAATATAATATAAATTCCGAAAATAACTACTCTGTACGTTTAAGTTATAATATAGGGTAACTATAATAATGTAATATAATCAATAATATATTGTACATCATATTTTTCTTTACAGAAAAAATAATTTTAGGCGATGATCAATTTAAGTTGGAAGAATTCTCACATATTTTGTTGTAATATAAAGAAACAATTAGAAATTAAATAGAATAGTCATCATAGTTGCTAGTGTACAGACATTTAAAAAATAGTAAATAGTTAAAATGGTTTCCGTAACGTATAAATTATTTTTTAATGAAAACGATAAGTTTTTCTAATAAATATGTATATATTGCCTTTATAGAGATATTCCTATGTACAAAATATAATTGACAGTTTTTACTTTTTAATAGCTTATATAGAGTCTATATAATAAATTCTAGGTAGAAAAACGTTCCTAACCCTAGAAGTAACTACATAAGATAACACATGGACGCAGTGTCCAATTGTCATAATATATCTGTAACAACTGTTAATACACATGCAAGTCGATTTCAATGATTTTAAACTGCACTGACATCTCTCACAAGGTTTTCTTGTTGGTCCAACTTGTTAGACATTTATTCAAGGTGTGCTAGGCGCTCCGGACTACATTCTAACGTACTTAGTCATAAATTTGACTTACACACTTATTCACAGTTGTTACAGATATATTTATAAGTGTTATATATAATAAAATATAATATTTAATACGATTCGACGACTTAAAATATAATATCCTACGCTAACGAAGAAAATACATTAATCATGCTTGTATTATTGCCGTTTTCTTAAGTAGGTATAATAATATATTGGTAATATTATATTCACATTCAATTTTTTCTTTGGTAACTTGGACTTTCCTCCCCGAATGCGATCTCTTAAACTTAAGTAGAATTACATAGTAACTGCCTAAGTACGTTTACTACCTAACAATTAACATTAAACGTTTTTTCCGAGTTAGAATAAGTGGTGTGATAGGTTGATATTATTACGATCAGACTATAAAGCGCTTTACTCTTAAAACGAATAATTATACCTACACGGAGAAATATATAATAAAATAGTAATTGTTTATAATAATAGATACAGCTGATGTATAAATAAAAAAGATTCACGAAACATTTTTATTCGTATAGTGGTACCCACACTGTAAAGTAAACGCTGTCAAGCATACGCTGGAAGTTTAACTTGGCGAATTCGAGAAAACGATTCCCATAAACTAAAGACTATCGGAATGGTTTTTTTTTTTTTTTGTATTTATAAAATTTGTTTGCATATTATAACATGTGAAACCCGGTATTGCGATTTTGTATAAAATGGTCCCGCGTTCCCGTTCGCGCAGTACTTCCGTCAGACTTAATTGTAACTTAATGATTGTACAGCGTTGTGTTGTTGTTGAACCAAACAGTATGTAGCCTTTTTATTTGCGGTTTCTCGATTCGTACACACGTGCCTCCCTTTTTGTTTTAAATGAAAAACGACCCTCGCAGTTTCGCCCGCAGTGGATGAGTGTATTGGGCGTGATGAATAACGTTCACCGGTTGTTTCGTTAAGTTCGCCAACATGCATGCCAACGAAAGTTCCAATGTACGAATCACGCTTTGTACTATTACCCAGTACCAAGGTCTGTCTTGCGTGTACACGCCTGAAAAATATTTACAAAACGTGTGTGTTAGTTATGGTGGCGTCGTTACACGCAAACGCAACAACGACGGGACAAAAACAGTATTGATAATGAGAAAAACACAATTTTTTTTTTTTTTTTGGTATTCTGTTGTCGTAGCCGGGAAACAATAAGCTTCGAACATTAATGAACTTGAGATTGTTTTTTCTTTGGGAGGGAGGCTTTAGTCTCTGTGGTGTAAAAAAAAATTAAGGGCTCATACGAGACACTTCTCCTCAACTTAAGCTAATATAATGGGGGCTAATGTTGTCCGAGTTCACCAATGACTTTGCGTCGAAAACGCGCTTACCGATGAAATTGATTTCAGTGGCAAAATTCAAAATGCACAACATCAACGCAAGCCCGGCGCACACGTGTACGGTTCTAATGACCATGACAATTTCAGATTTAGTCACGGCCACCTTGGAAGCTCGCCTCCTGACGTTTTCCATCTTAGCGTCGCCTGCTTGTCCGCTACCTCGGTTCACGAAAGCTATGTGATTCAATATGGTGCTCAATGTCATCTCGGAGCTCTGCAAAAAAAACATAATAACCCACCCCACAAAAACAACCGCGTAAATATAAATTATTTCGGTGGGAAAAAATCATGCACGCACACAACCGTATTCAACTCAGGGGGTCAGAATGTCGAGGTTCATTCCCTCTTCATTTCAAAATATAGTTAACAGTATAAATAATTAGGCGTTACTCATGTCTTAAATGTATATTATGATAATACTTTCTATATTTTAATAGTATTGAAATAATTTGTTTCTTGAGTTATTTTATCTCTCGCCCAAAAATTATTTAGAAATATTAACAATATTTTTAATATCCTTTTGAAAACAGTAACATATATTATTGTATGGGAGCGATCGCTCTACGTTTCTTTATTTAGAGCATTAACATTACACACCCACTTCTTCTTCGGTTTACCTCTCCCTCTAAATCTCTCTCATCCATATCATTAGTTCCTTTTCCTATATTTTTCAAACCGTACCCATCCAATCTATTTTCTCTCTCGTGTTACTTTCTACTTTCTACTCCAACCCTTAAAAACTTATTACAATTTTAATCTAACCTATTATTGTCACGCAATATCGTCAAAATTCTCATTTCAACAACTTTCATACACCATACCACTCTCAATAAAGTTGTTTGAAACTTTTTTCATGCTGAACGCCATTTTTTCTTGTTAAACGACACCCTAATGTATGACTTATCCCGACTTAAGATCAACATGTTCTCCATCTCGTTCCGAAACCTCATCATTTCTAAGCTGAAAGTTTATGTACCTATTCTGCGACAGACCAACTTATTCTCAAGCAATTTTCTTGATTTCTTTAGTCGAACTTATAAAACATCTGAACTTTTCTGTTAAACTACATCCGCAGACCGCAGTCAATAGAGTTCGTATACATTGTTAAAAAAATGGCACTATGCATGTGTATATGTATACTTATTTATATATTAAAAAAACAGCGCACCAGGTCTGAAAAACTACTGGAGTGTCTGGTCGTAGGTCTGGTCTCTTGATCGGCCGCCCCGGTAGATTTAATTCTGAAACTCCTTTGTGGCTGTTATGTATCACAAGAGACAGAAAACGACGTTAGAACGGAGAAAATAAAATATATATATATATATATTTATACGCGAATAAGCTCAGTTGTTTTTTATTCACTTGTAACGGTGTGAGTAACGACGACGACGCTGTGGGGGAAGTGTCCTTATCGGATTCTCCTGTCTTCGGAAATTGCCACGAAATCGATTTAGCGAAACTCTTCCGCCACGAGCTCTCTTCGGGTTCACTGCCATCGCCGGTATTGTTGCCGGGGCTCAATGCCAAAAACTGCTTGCTTCCCTCCACGCAACTCAATCGCTCTGTGCGTGTGCGACAAAAAAAAATTGTAATACGGGTATCTGATATACGCCATAATATCGGCTCTAGACACTAAAGCGGCCACTTACTTTGTATGATGCTCTGAACTTCACTCGCCCGTCTCGACGGTGTTGTAGGGCTCAACAAAGACCCCGACCTTTTTTGTCTCTGCACAAAGCTGCTGGCCCTCCTGTTCATCCTGTTAAAACTGTTCGCCACTTCCGATGGTGCCGTTATCTTCACGGCTGCAATTACAGTTTCATTATAAATATACAATAGGTATCGTTATATTACTACGCGTGCATGTTATACGAAAGATAATATATGGTAAATTGCGTCGCTTCTGGTACAGTATTAAAGTATTTAGTGATACAAAACAAAATTACTTAAAGCTGTATAAAATGTCAACTAATGAACCTTTCGAACTTAAATGTATTTAAGTTGTCAGTTTGTAATACACATAATATAGTATTTATACGAAAATATAGAATCGATATTGTTATACGAAAACTATACATTTTTATCTAAATTATAGATAATAATTTATGTTTTAATAATATACGTCACGTTGCCGTTCACCGAAAGCAGAAATAATTTTGAAAAAGAGCTTGTGACGCAGACTTTATACTTTTTTGGTTTCATGTAACAGATTACGTACGTTCTATTTGTATACTTTCATTGTGCAGTTTGTAGTATTGTTTGTGATACTTACTCGGTTTATCTTTGGAATCTTTGGACTGATGTGGAACCAACAGGGCAGGCACAAAGGCGGCGGCCATGGACGTGGCGAGATTGTTGTACGGTGCCAATATGCCTAATTGCATTATACCTGCAATTAAAGTTTAATTTGTGTTGAAAATCATGTTGCGCCATCCACCCGATCATAATACACCGTAGCGTTACAATAATCATTTTTAAATTAAACGAATTTCCGGTGGTAAAAATTAAACAAAAACAAAAGCAATAAATTTATTCGTAAATAGCAATCTATATTTTTGCATTAACATAAAAACACAAGGGCGGTACGGCGAATCCGAAAAACCGTGCTTCTGCGTGACAAATTGCGAGTATAAAAAGGTCTAAAAAGTTATTAGATTTAATCGATTTTTATGAGAACTTGGAATTACACTTTTTGTAAGCACTCACCCCGAGAGGTCGGCGGACGACCGCGGCAACTAAAACTTATCTTTACGACCAGTAGAGCGTGACTAGAATAAAACCTTTAATCTTTTAGTCTTAAAACCAGAAAAATGGCATTAGACGGCGCGGCACAAGGAAAAACGGGTCTATTTCGAGTGCGTTAGTCTTTACACGGGTCTGGAAAAATGATAAATCGCGGCCATTCGAATTAGTTTTCGACAGAGAATTAACCTGTTAATTATTGTGGGTTTCGGAAATTAAACGACAAAAAAAAAAAATAATAATAATAACTGTTTGGGGCTTCTTTTCTCTTCGGCCTGACGTGCCGCAATGCTTTAAAACAAATTACATTATAATCTGTTCGTTTTTCGGGCGGGGATGCGGAAACCGCACAAGGATGTTGTATACACTTTGTGGCTACAACCAAAATCTACAATGGACCATTTTGTTGAGCGGTTCTAAAGCGTCCCCGTATACAACAGCGGGATCGGAGGCCGGATAAGGATTCATTTCAAAACCATTAAACGTACTTACGAGAGATCTCGAGAAAATGGGCAAAGTAAATATTACTCGGTTTTTAATCCTGTGCCGAGGATAAAATCGTCAGACTTAGTTGTCACGCCGGGAAAACTTTTCAACATGAACTGTGCAGTGTACATAATAAATGTACGCATGCGATCAAGTCCGATTGCGTTACATGATGTTTTTTTTGGACTTACCTTTGTGTCGGGCGTCAAAATTTTGCAAAACCGATTTAGGCATACGTTTGACGAGCGTCATGACTTGAACGCCCAAGTAGAGAAAAAAACAGCACAGCCAAATGCCCCAGATGTGCAAAAGTATGCGCACCGCGTTACCCAACACCTTCGTATTAAAACGTGTCCGTGTTACATAATATGATATTATGGGTAATTTTTATTTGATTTTTATTTACTTCAGACTTACCCAAAGTTTGTAATCGACGGAGGCAGTGATGTCGGCAGGCACGAGCACTCCTACCAGCAACACAGTGGCTGTGACAACGACCGATTTGCGTCTCATGTTGACCGGACCCGCTTGCAACTACACATAAAAAAAAAAAATACACATGTACATATTGCACCGATGGAAACAAAAACCACACAAAAGAAACAGCAGCGACTCACTTGAGTCAACTGTATGTAAGCGAGCTGCAGTAGAGACAGAGCAGCTATTAAGCTGCACAAGCCCAGGTCCCAGGTGAGATGTGTGACAACGGATGAAATGTTCTGCGAACAGACGAATTGACACGTGTATTTTGTGGATTTTAAAAGGTTATTGTTGTTTTGGGATAATTCAAATCATCCGTACTCACCCGTCTGGTGTTGTATGGGTCGATGAACAACACAAATGTGCGGCTGACCCCGGTGGCAAGCAACAGAGCGTTGATGGCCGCCATGTACGGTTTCTCCTTTTTGTTCTTTGTTTGCGCTCTGTAAATCCATAGAAATCAGCATTAGAGGGACGTGATAAATTAATGTAGACTGCCCAACGTCCAGATTACGTATTACATTAATTATTGTAGCTTAACATATAGAATATCTATAATGTGGTTACGTATAATGGGGTTGTCCTTAAAGCTCACTAGGTTTTGGTAATAAATAAAGAGTTATTATTATGTACGGTATACCGTAATATAATATCGAATTTTATTTGATAATATATCTGTAGATAGGACCTTAGATTATAATAAATCAATTTAACTAAAATACCCTAAACATATTTGCCTGATAGCAAATATGTTTTTCCTTAAAAAGATTTTTATAAATATAATATAGTATAAAAATATATAAATGGACCAAATAAATAAACAGTCATATATATATATAAATATATATAAAACAATTGTCCGTACTCAAAGTTATTGTACCGAATAAGAACAAATAACAATAAACTGCTTTAGTTTTCCTAATTTATGCTTTGATCAATTCAAATTGCAAACCACTTTTACATACGCCACGCGGCAAATGTTATTTATTCGTAAATTACTCTTTAACTGTAAGTACGGTTTCAACAACGTAATTGTTTTACAGCAATATTTTAAATTTCATAAATAAAAATGGTCGTTTTAAGGGGATTGCAAACAGTTTGGCTTCCGTCGTATTCAAAAGCAACATAGGATTTTAGACCTATACTTGTTCTAACGTATCGATCGATCTAGTAACGCAATGAGGAATCTAAAAACGAGTTTAAGCTCTCCGATGTCTTTTTAATAGCCCGTTTTCAGCTTCTTTATTGAAATTAAACCGATCGGTGCGTTGCAACAAAATTGGTCTCAATTTCTAATTTGCGTTCGAGTGGGTGATGAAGGCAGAAAAAAACTGTTGCCAGTACCATTAATAGTAGTAAAAAGATTATATTTGAATACAATTCCTAAACCAGATATACATCGAAATATATTATATATGGTACGAGATACACACAAGTTTTATAATATATGTACATAAATCGCACAAGAGAGCTATGGAAAACTATAACTTTTCTCTACTGACGTAGGTACTGTGCAACTTTTGGCATAACTATGCGCAGTGCACACACCTGGGGAGCTAGAGAGTGACCTTTTATCGTGTTCCCACATGATTAATGGACGGTCTCATAAATCAACGACAATTTTCAAAGTCAATTTTTTCCCTGCGAAATTATACTGTTTTATTTATAGCGGAGAAAAAAAATTAAATAATTTTCTCGGGTTACGTTGGTAATATGAGCGGCAGTGCGAGGATTCAAATCCCCGCGGTGAGGCCGGATCATTTTTCCCTCAACAAAACACGACTACGTGTGCTATATCCATTCTAAACAACAATAGCACGGCTGATACTGATCTCCTGTTGTTCAGTCGAAAGACAGGTCCCGGCAGAATTTCCGAGGCCGATAGCAATATACACAGTTAGCAAAACCTCTCAAGACGCAGTCGGTCTCGAAAAAGATACACATACACAAACGCATATATATGTATAATATAAAATATAATACACAGCGTATGTCCCAGAATGACAATTGTAATGTAACACTTTCCATCGTCAAAGTTTAGTAAAACGAAAATCAATAGACTCAAACGACTTTGTAAATAAAAGAAGATGACTACGATATGATCTTCAAAAAGTACGTTTCTTTAATGTCAAAAAGTTTATGATTTTAACAAGTAATTGTTTTTACTGAAACAACCATTTTGGAAAAACTGTGTAGTAGAAACTTTTTATATTTTACCCGACAGGAAATAATATATTATACTGTCGAGTAAAAAAAAATAAAAAGTTTTTAATAGTTTAAGATTAATTTGAGTTCTTTCACACTCATCTACTATCGTTTTGATGTTTTATAAAAAAAGTTTTTTTATTAATTAAATTTTGTAGGTAGTTAGACACGTGTATTTCATCAATAGTTTCTGCTAATCGTTTAAAACATTTATTTGAACTTCTCGATGCATACCACTCGTACGCTTACAAGTTACAAAATGTACTAAGAAGTAGTATATAAAAGTTGAACTACTTGTTTTTTAAGTCCCGGAAGTTCAAAAATAAACATACAAAGTATAGACTATAAATTTGACTTGTAATCTCCTATTTTTTTTAAATACTAACAAGATTACTAACAAGATCTTGGTTAGTAGTATTAGATTCACAGGATAAGGAAATAATATGGTCCAGTCCGACCTAAACTAATTGCTCAGCATTTCTGGTTATTACGGCAGACTTCCTTCTATACTAGATGCCGACCTACATTAAATGTCACACGGAAACTTTAATTAATTGGAACACTTAGGGTTACAAATATTTGTACAAGTAAAGGGTCGTTAAATGGTATATCTTGAACAGCATAATATACATTATGCCCGAGTGCTGACGTCCAGACAAGTCACACTGAGTAATTTCACTTCAACTGTGAACTGTGATGAGAAGTTGGTGTGCGGCAACCTGTCAAAGTTTGACCAAACTTTGCACGTTAAACGAATGAGTGGTATAGTGTTAACGACGGAGTGGCGGGAAATGAATGTACGGCATTTCCGATAACAAAGTAAGGAAATTTAATAGAACACCGAACGCTTTACAATGTAATGAATTCGGGCAAAATGCTCCTCATTGTCCGGTTTTTTTGATGCTACCGTAAAAAAAAAAAAAAAAAGTTTAAAACGGTGATATTAAGAAAAAACCACCGTCGTGCCAAAAAGAAAGTACACGAATTCAGACAAAAGAAAGATACTGTAAAATTATTTACAGCCAAATGGTACGCAAAGCTATTAAAATAAATAAAAAAGCGTAAAGCTCTTCTGAATACTTGTCATTCTCGAATAACCTAAAGCTTAGTTGTAAAAGAATGAAATCCTCATTTTTCAAATTTAAACGTTCTGATCACGATTATTAATGGTTTGTCTGAAAGAGACGTAGACAATTCTCTAAGTAACCGGTATTTCCAATCTATACACGCCAGAAGTATTCGGATCGGTACAAATGTACAATACATAAAAATATTACTTCGTCGTAAATATCATTCAACCATAACATACAGCTGCGGCTACTTAAAAAAAAATAATATAAACGATCCAAGATGAAAAAATAAAAGTAGGTACATTTTTGACGTCTTTGAAAATAAACGTTATAACAAGTTTAAAAATTTGTGATGGGAATTCCAAAATAAAAAAACGCTATTTCGGACGTATAAAAATATTAAAAATATAATATAGAAATGTGTATTTAGGTAAAGTGTTTTTGATGAAAACGTTAAAAAAAATACAATACTGAAAAGAAAAATTGTTTTTTGGGGATTTTAAATTTGTTGAAATCCGAAAGCAATTTATTATCAAGGTTGTGTTTTTTTTTACTTATTGTAAAAATATATTATTACTTATGTACACGTCATGTATTGTTATAATATTTAGTATTTATAAGATTTTAAAGAAAATTTTGTGAAAATCACTAACGTAAATAAATTTAATTTTATTCCCTGTAAAAATCGCCCATTAATCGCAATGCAAATTTTAGTTTAAAGTTATACCGAACTGTTCAAAAGCAAAACGTGTGCCAACATTCATTTTTTCTATTCAAGCTTATAGCTCATAATTACTTTAAATAAAGATCATAAACATTTCCCCCTCCCCAGAAGATTATCCTAAACCAGAATAGACGCTTGGCCGCGACGGTTATTTAATTTGAAAGCGCATTAAAGAAAAAAAAAAGATTGTAAAATAATAAATCGTCGCCGTCGTTTTTGGTGTAAAAACAAAAGAAAATTACTTTTAAACGGATTACGAAACCGTCTTTCAGTGTTACGGTTCCAAATGTATAAGTAGAACTCGGAGAAAAATGTTTTTCTTCGTTTTTCTCATCGACACTATAATCTTTATTAATGTCGCGTTAATGCGAGAGACTAACAGTTTTGTGGGCGTACACAAGAGGATATAACCGATTTAAAGAGGTTGACGACAGTTTTGGTTCGTTCTGTTGTATCAGTTCAATCACTAATGATGCGGCATCACTGGTGGTCGGACAGCACCGGCATTGATTTTCCCATAGAATTCGATTTGGCGTTAATCGAGACGACGAGGGTAAGATTTTGTCGTGACCGAAATGTCGCGGATGGGAGAGCAACGAATTCCGTCGAGAGCCATTTGGTTTGATGACATTGGCACGCTCGTCTGCACTGATTTTCCGATGAGAATCGTTTGCATCGGTTTACTTACGGCAGTAAGAGGCCGACTACTATATATATATATATATATATATATATACAATAATGTCTAAACCTCCTGACGACGAATCCCTTCGGGACCACATCGCGGTTTCCCTAACGAAGTTATTTACCCGACAAACTTGGGTTTTATACAAATATATATTATATATTATAATGTAGGCTATATATATATAGTATAAACGCAGTAACTGTCCGTGGCAGCACCCCGGCTTGAACGTCGTGCGAGATTTCACGGACCAGAAGTACATATATTTTCGATTGTGACCACTAGCCCATTACGATTTCGCATTGTCCTAAAATGGGCGATTCATTAAGAGTAAGACACTAATTTTCCCATGAAATGATTGCAATTTTTTAGTTTTTATTTTTGAAAATATTTTCGTTTACGTTATTTTACAACATTACAATATTATTAAACCGTTCCCATTATTTCCAGAGCTCTTAACAACTTTTCAAACTTAAATAGTAACGTATATATTTAGTTAACTTTTTACTAAAGTATTTAAGTATTCTTCTATTAAAAAATTGTTTCTATATATGCGTTACCGTTAAAGTTTTAAAAGTTGATACAGCTCTGTAAAAAAATAAAAAATCTATAACATTTAATATTATATAATTACATAAACTAAATTTCTCCAAAACTACGAAATAGCAATTGATTTGGTTCATGCTACAAGGACTCTTTCCTTATCATTTAAATTTAATTTTGGGAAAATTAAAAATAACTTCCTAGTTCTAGTTCTAGTACATCTAGTTAGGTTATAAACAGCAAAATCAACAGGCCGTTTTCTAGCCCAGGTAATTCCTTTTTTGCATAAAACGTTGAATGTATCCCCTAACACTGAAAATGGCGTCCTTAACAACAGCAATGGCGTTAAGGACCCTTTTTACATGAACCAAATCAATTATTTTAAGAGAAAATAAGTGTGTTATCATTAATGAATCACCCTATATAATCAATATACATTTTGAGTACGACCGAAGTCATTTAATTGTTCAAATACTACTTTCCTGTAGTATAAATAATTAATGAATTTTCAGTTTACGTCATTTAGTTTTGACAAATACATTTAATACTATTTATTAGTAAAGGTATATGTATTATTTAGACTACATTATGTTATTTACATAGTTTAAATATTATATTATATTTTAAGACTTATGTTAAAATACATGTATTTTTTTGTTAGCAACTGATTTCCCTGAGCTCACGAAGGGTTTTTGTTGTGCATAATCACATAATACATAATCGTTAGACGAGTTCGAAGTTTCAGGAATGATATTATATGTGAATATTTGAAAATGGGATCCAGAAACGTCTAACATCTAGGAACATTTAACTTTTTAAAAAAGGCAAATTAATTATTACAAAACAGGCATACGTTTAATACATTGTGGCATAAACTTAAGCTAAAAAAAGTATTTATTTTTCTGTATTTTATCACCGAAGGGCAAAATTGTAATCCTTTTGGTACATAACATATTGTTTTAACAGCGATATCATTCGGTTGTATTAATTACACTATTTAAAATGCGATACATATTAAACTTATTTATAACTCATAAATAACTTTCATTTGGGACATTATCTAAATGTTAAAGTTATTGTTCAAAAAAAAAAAATATCTCGTATAATGAAATAAATGACGTTTAAACTCGTGTTTCAAATTTTTGTGAATTCTCCTGGTAACTCCATTATTTTTTTAATATTCACTCATACGTCAAATTAAACCATTGATTAAAATTTATATTGACGTGTTTTAGTGATGTCTGTTCTTTCTTCGATCGACCACTAAACACGATATTTTTTTATTAATATTATTGTTTACTGCTTACCTGATGTTCAATATGGAGAAGACGGCGTAGAAGGACAAGATAAAGAAGAGGCACGCGAACCCGTAGGCGTGTATGTTGAACATCCACACAAGTTGTTCCAAGCACACGTTGTCCCAAGTCGGATGCGGCGAGTGGTCCGTTAGGCTGGTCACGTTGCAACCGCCCTTCCACGTTTCATCCTTACACCCTTCCAGATTTTTATTACAGTCTAAAATATAAACGAAAATACACCGAACAATTAAAACCGTTAATTTTATACCATCAAGCGCAATTATATACATATATATATATATATATATATATATAAATACAATTGTCGAATAACAGCAACACAAACCAAGTGTAGCGAAGAACGCTTTAAATTAATCACCGCACTAAATCAGTTGGGCAAACGTTGAACTTACTCCCTAGTCCCTGCCTCGATACGATAAATGCATTTTTTTGGTTTCCCCGAGAGCGTACAATCTACTGCTACCGGCCGAGATTTTTCCTATAAAGTGTGTATGTTTGTACGACCGTTTGCAATAAAAGTTTTCGAGCTGATTTCATTACGTTTGAATTGGCTGCCGTTTTTGAAAGATGTCCACTGTGTGCCAAATGACCTAATATCGATTTCCACGCGGAGGAGTTTTCTTGTTTGTTTTGTTACGTTTTCGAAAGACTGTACTAGTGTACGGGTTGGATTTATATTAAAAGCTTCAGCGGCCTTTAGTATTTTTGGCATTAACGGCTATATACGCTGCCCACACACTTAAGAGAATCTGTAAATTAATTTTGACAAAAAAAAAAATATATATATAGACTACTCAATTGGCTGTAAACTAAATCAATCGCCGCGTACTCGGGTACCTATCCTAAGCAAGTCGTCGAATATTGATATAGTTGGTCTAAACATTACTTGGCTTTTCGAAATCGCGATAACAATTGGTGGTTTTCTCGTTTTACTAATACTTGCAGTATATTCAACATCGGACGGGAGATAAGATGCTCTCAATTTTTTGTCGCTATTGGCTTTATGGAGTGCTGATTTCGTAAGTAATAGCAAAACTAATGAGATTGATCTTATGTGGATTGAGTTTGAGTAAATAAATGTATGCAAAATATTTAAATCTTAATTTATTTAGAATTACGGGTTTTTTAATTAGTTCACAGTTTGGACATTCACTGTTACTCTAAGTAAACTTATATTTAGCATAAGTTTATCTGGCGGGGTTGACTGTTGACGACCGAAACGTTTTGACTGTGGCAGTTGCGACATTTCAATTTTTTCCTAGGAATGAGAGATGCCCGGAAGGTTAATTCTCTCATTTCATTGGAGAACGAAAAAACGTTGAACAGTAATTGTTTTAAGTTAATAATAATGATCATTTTATAAGAAAAAATAGGAAATTTGTAAAATAATTTCAATTATTTAACTTTTGATTATGATTTAAACTGTGAGATTGTTCATCCTACTTTATTAGCATTTGATATAAAATTCGTATATTTTTGTTTTAATGTATTCGTATATTCTAGGTAAATCAAGAAATGCATTTGATATAAAATTCGTATATTTTTGTTTTAATGCATTCGTACATTCTAGGTAAATCAAGAAATGAATGCACAAAAATCAAGATTCCACGTAGAGTATAATTTTCAATTTCATTCGACTTTGCTATTTACATTTAAAATCGTATTGTTGGTTAAAATACGATTTGCATTCGGTTGGGATTTGAATAATATAAAATAAAAACTAAAGTTTTTTTTTAACGTTGTCGGTTTTACCGTTATGTATTGGTTTTAAAAATTCGGAGCGAGCTATTTACCGCGCATTTCGTCTAATCTTATGTATACACAATATATAGAAACCGTTATCGAAACTCGAGTTACGTCATTCGGCGAAGGTCCATGGGAAATACGCGTCCCAAAATCAGTCAACACGACCGTGTATTGTTGTATCTATACTCGGTCAACGGGTCGACGATCGTGTCTGGAATTGCTAACGAGTCCCGCGGGGTTCGGTTAAATGTATATTTGAAGACTCGCCTTGGCAAGCTGTCGGAAACCGCGGGCAATGCCGTTTTAAAATGTCGTCGCCGTCGTGTGGCGTGATTGCGTAAGCGCGTCTTCTTGTCACGTGTAGTAGCATTAGGTCTTCTTCGCTGTGCTTTTTTCTTGCCTCCCCCCTCTCGTTCCACTGCCGTTTATTTATATTTCTCCGTCCAAAGTTCGATTGACATGGGATAATTATTATTCAGGTTCCCCGCGTTTTTCCGGCCAAAGGAAACCTCGACGGTATGTTGTACAAGTGCAGCGTGGTTGTTGCGCAACCGACCCTGCACGTCCCCACCGGCTCTTCGCCGAGCATGTATATTTGGCATTCGCAATTGAATAGAAAAAAAAATATATATAAAATAACTCTACTCGAATTTATCCTGCCGCACGGAAAGTCGTACACAAACAAAGTGGCACTGGTATAAGGGGAAACTGTGACCGGACGACGGGAACGGAAGATCCGGAGAAGGATTGGCAAAGCATGTATCGAGCTATTCGTGCATTTAAACGGTCTCGACGACAAACCACAACAAACATGATATATTATTATTTTATTTATTCATTTCTGGGACAATATAATACGCATTGTTTCGACCCTACGCCTACCACTTAGCAATCGACTGCCGTTTGTTATTGTTTTGATTGTAAAATAACAGACAACATAATATGCAATATTGTACACAAGAGAAAATGTCCAGTATTAAAACGTTTGTGTATGTGTATAAATATTATATATTTAGTGATTTTCCGAATTTGAAATGAAATTCCAGCATCCGGTGAGTTTGCTAATGCAGATAAGCCTCTTTTCTTGCGTAAATGAGTCTTGTATATAAGATTGGATCTTGTGTATAAGTATTGTGTTAATGATAGTTGACTGAGTAAAATTACATATTGCGACGTGCGGCGGTAGGACAACATTGTTATTTTAGTATAATATATATCGTTTTATGTCGAACTCAATTGATGGTAGTAGTGGGTAAACTACATACGTACATTGTAAATTTTTTCTAAGTTTAATTTGGAAACGCGTCCTGTGCTAAGCGTTTAGAGATTTGGTCAATATTTTTTTACACGAGAGTTCAATTTGATATGATTTATACTGTATAGATATATATTTATAATACAATTTTTTTCTAGACCAGTTCTAGGTAGTAATAAAACCACATCCAAGAAAACGCTATGATGTGAATCTGTGGATAATGGACTCCACTTTGATAATTTCTTACTAGTATGCTGGTTGGTGTTTGGTTTGACTGTACTGGTTTACACTGTCCTCGATTTTAATTATGCTAGTTTTTACTGTGTTGCATTCTTACTATTAGCAAATTCGCATTTTCAAAAAGTGTAATAGCCGAAATTTACAAAATGGGTTATAATTTATTGTTTTATGGGCCATTTTTGACGGTAATTTATACCGATTTTGTGGAATTAAAACAACTTTTTTGTTATTATCCTGCATACTTTATTATTATATTAAGAGATTACCGCGTGGGTACTGTATTTATGAGAAAAAACGTTTCAAACTGGGATTAGTTTGCTCGTAATATTATAAATAACGTTTTATACAAAGCACAAAATACCCTTTGTTTGTTTTTTTACAGTAAAGTTCTGAAAAAACAGATAATTTTTATGTATTAAAACTTGCATATTGGGCTATCTTATTTACATGTCTTGCAGATACTCTCACAACAGTGCATGTTGATTGATGTTAGGAGTTCGCGGTCGACATTAGACAGCAGACACGTGACTGTATCCGAAACTCATCAGTAAGTTAATTTTCATCACAGAGATATTATTATTAGATCAACAGTGTCTATTGCTGTATCCGTCGTCAGACGTCTTGGATGTATATTGATTGGGTTTGAGTTTTCAGCTTTTCAGGGAAATCTGTATGCTAATCATAAGAATAATAACCGTGCAGAATTGAAATACGATCAACCCGATTACAACGAAAATGAAAACCAATGTACAACAATTCCTATCCGGTCCATTTGTGATATTATAATATTTCATCACTACAGATGTTTCAATTTAATTATACTGTGAAATGGAAATCACTAAACAAATCATAGAATGTCAGACGTATTATGAAAAAGTATCGATAGAATGCCAACAGATAGTTAAACATAGGAAGGTGGGTGTACTTGGTTATATTATTTCAAATTGCTCTGCATCAATAATGAAACGTCCAATACCGAGTTCATCATTATAAAACACTATTACCCGGCGCGGCGCACGATATCGAATCCATATATTCATGAGTTTGGTTATTATTATTTATTTTTATAAAACGAAGCCAATGTTTTGTACAGTATTGAATTATTTAAAGCTTGATAAATATTATATTTACAAGTGGCTGTCGTTAACACCGAAACAAAAGCAAAACAAATTTCACGGTATAATGTTTAGTTGCCCAGTAACATAATTACATACAAAAAAAACCTAAAAAAAAAAAAATATATTGTAATATTTTATAGTAATTGGTTCAATATTTGTGATATAACAATAAGATATTTTAACAGTATTTCCTAAATATTATATGGTAATGATTTCAAACAAAGTTTATATCCATACATATTTTCAACGAAACAGTGAATATTTTGACTAAGGTAAATTGCGCTTTATTAAACTTTCTACCTAAAATGTAATATATATATTGATTACTTAATAAAAATGAATTCAATTAGGTATACAGTATAAGAAATTATAATATAGAATGAAAAACAAACGCACATAAAACAGAACTTACACCGTATGACATTTATTTAATAGACATATAAAGGTGTCTCAAAAAGAACGTCGGATAACCAGCAACAAAATTCGTCATAACTTTTAGAATTTTCTTGCTAGAAAGCCTAACTCTTTGTCAGACGATTCTAGAATGCCTAGAATCATATAATAGAATCTCTGTTATTATGTTATTTGTTTTACATATTATATTTTTTTTTTAAATATATTTATTTATATTTGACAGTTGCTCAGAAATATCATCTACAGATTTAAGTTTAACTGCACAAAGCTTATTTTTTGTCACTCTAGTAATTTATTTTTACTTTTTTCGTGGTCATGGAAAACAAATTATTTTTTTAGTATTTTAAGTGTGGCGAGACATGTTTTTACTGTTCGTCTCCACTTTTCTTCGACGTTAGAATGTATGTCCAAACAACGATATTT